TGTCTTCCGTTTAATGTTTTTTTAACCATATTTTCCGTTTTTATGATCGTACAGGGGTATTTTCGTGATGCGTGATTACTAGAGCCGTTTTTATTTTTCGTGAATCGTGAGTTTAAATAATTATTCCTTATTCAAATTGAGAATCTATAATCGTGATTTCATTACGTCGATTTTTCTCCTGATTTCAGTTTCCCGACCTCCAAAAGACCATGAATTAGCAAACGAGACAAGTGTCGTAAGAATAACGTACACCTATCTTGCATAACTCTTACATGGTCCTCACTATTCTTCTTGGATACTTCGTAAATATTGGAAGACTCTTCAAGTCCGCGGAGTAATTGATCGCGCAAAATGGAGATCATTGTCATTGTTAACATGGCAGGGTAAACGGGTAATCAGATATATTTCCAACTGAATGCGTAATATTTTACGTTGACTTAAATTCAGTGGGTTCAATGCCTTTACTTGGAAAGCCGGACAGAACTCGTTTTTTCTTTTACTAGCAAACACTCCTCTCAGGTAATCTTTAGAAAACTCGAAGGATTTGTGGGATAAAAGGCAGAGGCTAAGAAACGTGGCCTTGGCCGAAGTTTTGAGCTCAAATTCTTTCGTCTAGAGAAAAAAAAGAAGGTAATGAAGCGTTTTCCAGAGACTGGAACATCTTAAGGTAATTAGGCAGCTTAACAGACAGAAAACAAAACTCAAGATTGATTGGGGGATCAAGCAATGGAAAAGCTGTGCGACAGAGTCCCGAGTGTGAGGCAAGAGACTAAACAATGTTTACATTGGAGACCGACTTTGGAGACCCTGACTCGTTCAGCCCATCTGCAGTCGATAAGCTGTCTGTTCCTTCAGCTACAAGAGCAATGACTTCTATGTCACGCGAGGACAGTGCGAACACATTCAGAGGTAAGCAGTAGATAAAGCAGAGGTTAAAGAGGGTGAGGAAGAGTGCGACACAGATTCATTTCATTTCATTTATTCACCCTTTCATATGCTTATTACATGCAGAATAATATTTAAAAGATAATATTATACCTGGGCTTTACGAGGGGAGCCCCTGAACAAGTTTACTGCAATGATTTATTTTAAGAATATAAAAAGGATATGGCTGTGTTACGAGGAGAAGTGACTAAGACTAATCATTTATGTAAATACGTTTGTATACTGAAATTCTAGTTTTCTTGCTTGTGGAGAAAATCAGTGTTAATTTTTCTCCTGAATAAATCGAATGTTTTAATTGGTAGTTAGTTCTTGCTTGATATTCGTGAACATTAGAGCACGATCTTGTGTTGTATTGATGAACATCTTTATTCAGACAAAACAAATCATGGTAAAGATGATGGTATATTGTTATTGAAGTATCGAAACATGGGCAAAAAAAGCAATGGCTTCATTGTCTATATCATCTTAAGGTAAAATCGATAGTTGTTTGAAGATAGGACCAGTATGTTTTTTTTAATTTAAAAAAGTAATGATCCTTATACCGTAATTTTTTTTGTAGCCTTCTTTTTGGTTCTTGTCTTGTTGTGTACGTATTTCCCCATACAATGTTACCATAACTTAGTAGGGAGAGATAAATGCGTAATATAGACCCCGCGTAACAACGCGAGGTAGATAATGACTTGCTCGACAAGGTATACCAGAAAGTTTTGCTTCTACAAAAACGACTTAATATTTACGTCTATATGAACTCCTAAGAATCTGGCTGATTCTACCTGATTGATACCTAAACCGTAACTTATTGCTTAATTTTTTCTAGCTATGAATGTCAATAATTCAGACTCGGACGATCCTACAGATAGTGCACAGGAATAATGGAATTCTTCTGCACGGAGCATCATATGATAGAGTTCGCTTGATCATTTTTTTTTTTTACATTTTATCACGCATGGTCTCTTTCAAACTTAAGCCTTTAAGCACTAAGGGTTTCTTTCAAACTTAAGCCTTTAAGCACTAAGGGTGATCAGCATGAAATTTGTCCTTATAATATCAATGCTTTAGAAAACAGATTGGTCATGACAATTGAGTACATGATCAGGGAAGATGACTCTAGTTGATATTTCAACAAATTCTCTCCACTTCTTCTATTGAAAAAGTTTAGGGGCAATAAATGACAATCTCAATTTTGATATTAGGATTTAAAGGGTTAAGGGGGGATCCACGGGTACGGTTCACGGACCACGAATTCACGGATAATAAGATTTCATTTTCACAAGTCATGATATGGTCAGCATGTGAAGCACTCTTTGATCCTGTCCTTACGCATGGAAAAAGTCGCAAAGAGGTGTCTGAAAACACAGCAAAGGGACGACAAGGAAAAGAATGACTACAAATTGCAAATTTCAGAATTTCATCGCTCTTTATAGATAACTCTAACAATTGTCCACTACGTGTAGTGACGGCGGGAGGAAACATTTTAAATTGTTATCGGCACTACGTAGTGTGAAACTGAATATCAGTGATGTGGTTCGAAAAAAAGCTAAGAAAACTGATACTATGTTCCAAAAAGATAAATTCAAGCTCCATTTTGGCCATTGCTTCGACCCTTCCAGGGGCGGATCTAGGGGGAGGGTGCAGGGGGTGTGCACCCCCCCTCCCTGAGATGACCTGCGGTTTCCTAATACAACTGGTGTTCTGCAAAAAAAAAAATTACGTGTTTTATTCGTGTTGAAGTAGAGCAAGAGACGAGTGCACCCCCTCCTAAAAAAGATCCTGGATCCGCCCCTGCTTTCTGAATGGCTTAAAACTCTGAAGGACCTCACGTCTGAGTTAGCTAATGCGCTGTAACGATTGCATCACTTGTGAACTGTGTGACCCTATAAAATAGAAAGAGTACATTGTTAGGTTTCCCAATTCCAAGCGATTGTTTAGACTGGACTTTTACAAAAGCTAATGAGTATCTCAAAAAGCAGCGCAACAAGCTAGCTCAGCTCAAGAGGGACGGATTATTGATTAGCTTGGAATAAAAGGTATTCGTATAACAGCTATGCCGCACGAAATACAGATCTGAACAGGAAGCTTGGGCTTCTTAAGTGATGTGGTAAAACTCAGGGCTGAAGGAAGTTTAAGATATCACGACGGCGAACGCCACGAAAACGTCGCTTAAAACTAAGTGAATTTGCTTTCTTTCAATCTCTATCACGATTACTCCAACTCGTTTACTTTGTCAAATGCAAGCGAACTCTTTTTGAGCCGAATTCATAACAACCATATTCAAGTTCAGAAACGGAGCCGTCGCTTGTTTACGTCCTCCATAAAACGTTGAATTAGGCATTTTCACGTCGTAGCCGTGCAGTGACGGCAAAGAAATGTACAAAAAAGAAGTGCAGAGTTGTTGTTTTGACTATTCAACCTATTGCTGTATTGAAGTTCTCGTTGTCTCCGCCGTCATGGCATCTGTAAGTCTTTTTAAAGAGTATTAAAATACTCATCCGAGTTTCTGATAAGTTAAAAATATGTCCGCGAGAAAATTCAGAAAAGTACGAACCGTGATAAATCCTCAGGGCTGAATTCTCGCTCAAACTGCAATATTAGTGGTCCTTTAAAACAAAAGGAATAGTTAGACGTCTAGATATACCAGTACGACTAGTATTTGTCCCTTTCCGCAGTAGAGCACAGACCACTCCTGATAACAGCTTTACCAACAGTTGTATTAGGAGCCAATTACAGAAAGTTGATGACGACTGCAGTACCGAGAGGCTTTGGCGCGCAAGTATAGATTTTTAGTTTTGACATCTTGTCTCATCACAAAAAGGCATACATCGTAGTACTCATCGTATTCGAGACAATTCATCAAAGGTGAAACGTATCTTTCGTATCTTTGTCAGTTTTTGAATGCCCGAGATGGCTGCTACTCTATCATGAGTTGCTTGTTTTTATTGTTTTCGCGTTTAAACATCACTGTCCGATTCTTTTTCTTTGAGAAATAGAAATGAGTAAGTCTCATTACGGCTCCAAGACCAGAAAACAAACAGACGCAGATGGTGACTGGCAAGGAGTACCAGGAGTGAGGGAAATGACTGAAATAAAACAACAGGATCATGGTAATGTTTTCTATCACAAACAGCACGCTCGAGAGCGTCAGTCCTCTTAGCTGTTTCTTTCTGCTCCTTACGCCAAGCATTGAAGGTGACCAATCATCTCGTAGCCAATGGAAGCAGGAAGTAAAACAAAGGAACAGTAATCCATATACGTTACAGTCTCCTATTTCGGAAGCCCAACAGCTCCAAATGATTTCACATTTTATTATCACCGTACAATGAAAGATCAAAACACCAGTAACCCACCACTTGTAGCTTACAGTGAACAAAGCAACTGCAAAAACTCGACTGCTTAAAATAAATAAGTGCGTTACAAAAAGTAGAACTTTCACACTAATATTCAGGTCTCTACGATCACGGTGAAGTAAGTTAATTGTGTCAGCAACAGTAGACGCCGAAGCTAAGCTGAGGAAAGACACAGGTAGGGAAACCATTTGAACGATCGTCACAGATTCTTGTTGAACAACCATGGCGTACAGCTGAATAATAAACTGTGGAGCTGATTCAAAAGCGGCCTCGGCCAGAACAGCAGACGCGCTAATGTCCAGTAGCTTATCCAGATCAGTCAGTGGATTTTCATTAATGTCAGTCGGTTCGATTTGATTGCCTCGCCATAGGTTTGGTAACTTCTTCAGGTGAACAAAAAGCGTTCTCAGTTTTATAACAGCGGGAAAAAATGGACTGCAACCAAATATGCATGTAGTGCACCCGCCACACCGGTTATCGTCTTCGTCGAGGTGAGCAAAATTAATAAATAAAAAAAAACTAATGGCAAAATGATGAAACAGAGCCCTACAACGAACCACGTCTTGTGATCTGCGCGGTAGAATTCCACCAATGTAAGAATATCGGTGATGGGGTCTGCCAAGAATGGTTCCAAAAAGATCCACGAAGATGTCGTACCATTTGAATTGCGCCATTGCTCTGACCTTTCTAAATGAATAAAGAAAATGAGTCGAAGAACTTCCCGTCTGAGTTTCTGGTTTACTGATTGGATAATGTGCGAAATGTGTGACCCTTTGTAAGCTTATTTCTATCAATGCGCGTTACCTGAGCGCCAATAAATCCATGAAGGGAAAAGATGGACTGTACATTACAAGGAAGAATTTATCTCCATTATGTAGCTTTTTCACTACCACAAGTAACTCAGCTTGCGAGAGATATTTTGAATGAACTGGCAACATGGACACCGGAATACTGGCACAAAATCCGCGAGTAAAATCACCCGCTCTATGGTATGTGCATTGTAGTTGTTACTTGATCTTTGATCACATAAACGTTTCATCTGATTGGCTGGAAGAAAGATAAGCCTCATATATATGACTGAGTCAAAGGGCCTTATTTGTCAGTCATACGCGTGGGTAAACAAAAGTCATTCCTATCACTTTACACCAGGAGCCCATAACCCGGAGCGTCTAACTTCCATACTACGCCTATGTAACGGCGTTTTCACAAGTAGGTCTATTTTTAGATAAGCCTTTCCCGCCAATTGCTTTCGAAAAGCCAACAGTCACCAGCAATTGCTTCATCAATGATAAGCTTTTAACACGTAACTAGGACAACTCCTTCACATTGAAAAAAACATCGCGGACGCACGTGAGGAATCTTCAGAGGAGTCTTCTGACCGTACTTCATGCGACAATTTCAGTATTTAGACGGAAACTAGCAGTTCAGAGCAAGATTTGCAAAACCTAGCCAGGACGTCTTCTTCATTGGCGACAACGCATAATTCACGCAAAGGGAATTGAATCGAAATCATCTTCGAAATAGCCGACTGTGAAAAGGTCCAAGCGAGCTACTAACAGTCTAAACAACGATCAAATGGAGGAATTGACCTCGTAGGACAGTTATTTTTCGCGTGAAAAGCTTATCTAAAAATAAACTCACTTGTGAAAACGCCGTTGCACGAATTTATGGCAGTTGAACGCTCCGGGTTATGGGCTCCTGTTTACACCGAATAAGATGACACGATGTTATCACCAATTAACCATAACTTTTCTCCAAATGTGTGATACTTTAAGGATTAGAACACAAAGGTTTGGTGAGTTTTGTTAGAACTGGGAAAACAAAAAGTACTCAGTTGCGCACGCGATGGCGCGTGCCGTCCAAATACTTAGGCATTATGCGCACTGCCGTGTCAATGCTGAAACCGGGACTGTCCATATATAGCCAATCAATCAGATTAGAGAATTTTGTTACAGTTGTGGCCCAGTTATTCAAATGGCGGATAACACCATGCACTGGATAAATTTCTATCCAGCGGAAAACGCAATTGTTTCGCCTAATGCTTATTCACTGTATTGTGATTTATCTGGTGGGTAGCGTTATCCAATAATAATAAAAATGATAATAATAATAATAATAATAATAATAATAATAATAACAATTTTTTTTATATTAATAACGTTAATTTTATTGAACTTTAAAAATAATATGTACATGATTTACAGAAATATTTGAAGTAATACTTAAGCACTATATAACATAAGAATTATATAAATCATAAAAATAGCAATCACTTTGTCAATAACGATTTCGTAAATACATTCCTTGCGGCTCAGATGCGGTTAATGACTCTTGCAGGCAGTCCAGAGTTTTAAATTAAGTCATTACAAAAGAGAATTATCCGTCTCTGCCTTAAAAAGAAAAAAAATAATAAAAGAATGAAATGTCGTATTGTTAAAATTCCTAATTAATGATAAAAATAATAATAATAATAATAATAATGATAATAACAATAATAATAATAATGGTCTTTATTAATCATTCATTGAGCAAACAGACGTGCAACAATTTACATGGCAAGAAAAGCGAAAAATACACAAGAAACAACAAAATACGTTTGAGCAACAGTGGGCATGGTTAACAGTGCTTTCCTTCCAAAAGCAACGATCTTCACTGTCATAACTAAGTTACTCAAATATGCGCACAAATTGAAGCACTTGACTGCGTTTAAACGAGAAAAATTTGCAGATTGTTGCTTTCCAAGTTTGATACTTTTAGAGCCTCAAGCCCGGAGCGAGTAGCTTCCATGAGTTATGTACTTATGTCACGGCGTTTTCCCGGACTGCTATTAGTTTAGTTTAGTTTTGGAACGATTTTATTATAAGCACGAATTTTGAATAGTTTTGAATGCGCTCATAGACGGGGCGGACTCCCCTGCTTCCATTTTCGCGGGTACTCTAACAAGTACTATAAAATGTATCTAAAAATGAACCGGGAAGTAAAACGCCGTGACCTACAGTTATATGCCTAAAATATATCGCCCCATGTACTAACGGGAGTCTAAGACAGTCTTGGATTCCAGGTACTGGCCCTTTGTCAGTGGAACTTGGATTCTAAATCCCGGTCGTTAGTTGAATTCCAGATTGCTTGAGATGTATTCCGGAATCCAAAGCCCAGGATTCCGGATTCTCTCACATAGGTAGCCCGTTCCAGGCTCCGAGATAGTCGCATAGTCGGGCCCGCGGAATCCCATTTTCGCGCGCCCTACACTTTCGCGTTTTCCCCACTATCTGAGAGCCTGGAACAGGCTATTACGTTGGCAAATATGGGAGTTGCTTGCTGCTACTGATAGGCTCCTGATACGTTTTCAGAAGTCCCAGCGATATATATGACCAAAGAAAGGGGGAGGCGTGTTTTTCGGTTTGCTTGTATGTGCGGATACACAACCCCGTTATATTCTATTTATCTCATTTATTGCATAACCCTGGCCCCTTCTGTATCACGTGTAATTCTCGATAAATTAGTTGAGATATTATGTGTTAAATCGAATGAGTTGTGCAATACCAGAAGAGTTTCATTTTCTGTGATTTTAATTCCGTTGGACATGAAACAACTTAAAGTTCATATTATTGTTTATTAAAATTTAAAGATACTTTTTAATAAATTACAATTTATTTTACAGAAAATGACGGGCGAACCCGATAATGTCCTACGTGAAAAATCATGTTTATCGAGGAGTTCAGGGAGATTTATTTCAGGAGGATGTCCACACTCAACTGAAGAAACTATAAGACTGTGGGACGGGGTAGGTATCCCGTTAGCGAGTTTGATAGTAAAGTCACAAGTAAAATAGTTATCAAAGGGCAAGTGAATTGTTTATTAACTCTTTTCGTGTGGTACGTTTTCGAGACCAAAGAGAGAGGCACAGAGAGGCGTGTGGCAGTTCCTAGGGGGGAGGGGGGGTACTCTCTATGATGGCCTAAACGGGGAGGCTCCGCTCGAAAGGGGTAAGGGATTTCACTCGTTGATGTATATTAAAGGCAAGAGAAATCTGTCATTTGGGTCTGTAAAAGGCTCCAAAAGGGATGGACGAGGTTGAGAGAAAACGAGAGAAAACGTTCTATTTTTGTGATTGATTCCTTTTTAAAAGACAGTGCATTTACAGCAGTTAAAAGGTATGTGAAAAAGATACCATTTGTCAATAGAAAGCATACTAAACGGGTACCCTTTTCGTGAAAAAATGGTATATAAAAGGGTAAGAGGTAGGGACTCTGGGGAGGAGCCTCCCCGTGTAAACGTCTGTTGAGTACCCCCTCCCCCAGTGGTGGCAGTGGTAGCCGTTGCAGGGATCTACTTTCTTCGTTTTAAGACTTCCTGTGTGATTTTAACCAGGGCATCTCTGTGGGGAGATGGAGACAACTTGTTGATTTGTCTCACTGCTTCCTTAGCGTACTGGCTTGCCAATGTATAGGAGCGGGCTATACCATCACTCTGAAAAAAAAAAGCAATAATAAAAAAGTGACTCACCCACGTAAAAACTTTGGTGGCGCACAATAATTTGACATCAGTGATGGAAACAACTGTGCCTATAAATCATGTCAAATAGAGGAAAACATGCCCCACTAGGCTAAAAGAAACCTCTCGTATTATATGTAAGCTCGGGCCATGAAGCTTTTGCCTGTCTTTTGTCCAATACGCATTATCTATAATTTCCAGAAAGAAAGCAGGGCACAAAAACAGAGCACGATATAAGGGGAAACAAAGTAATCCGTGCCTGCTTTGTGCTGGACGGAATGTATGCTACTTCACCCTCATAACACTAGGTTTTCATCCGTGTGACGTGTCACTTGATCTCATGATCAAAGGGGCCTTTTTCCATGTACAATGGATATTTAGAGCAGGGCAATGAGCTTCTCTAAATCCTGTCAACCTATAGTGAATGACAAAATATGAAAACTAAGGGGTACCCTTTTAATTCTGGCAATACTCACCTTATGCACTGCTTGTCGAGCTTCTTCTACATCATTGGGTCCTTTAAATCTCCGCATAATAAGGGCATTAAGATCAGGGAACTGTAATGAAAAAAGTACACACAATGAGTTGAGTTAGCATACTAACGACAGCATAAGACCAAGTATGAGTTGTTATACAATCTACCACCTTGTTCTCAAGGGGGGGGGACCTTATTAATGTAAGAAATTTTTTCTGAGAGGGGTCTATATATTTATGGCTAGTACTTACTGTGTAGCCTGCAGAACAGGTTATATCACTGTTTCTTTTTAGAGAAGCAAAGAAAAACACGGGCAAGAAGTGATTGTGAGAGATGTGTGAAGCTAGAGGGTGAAGGACAAGGTGTGTCTTGTTCACCCCTCGCCTCACATTTAACTTTGCTTGCCTGTACTAAATGCAAAATTGTGTGGCCTTGGTTGTTCAAAAGGTGGACAATGCTATCCACTGGATAATTCACCATCCAGCAGAAAAGTACCATATTACCCAACCTCGAATTAGCACCCACCTCGAATAAGTGCCCTCCCCACCCCACCCCCTTTCCCTTCCCACCCACAAAACATTGAATAGGTACTTATAAGAGACTTGCTTGAAGACGAAGTTTTGTTCAGAGTATTTCACAGAAACCTTGCTTTGTTACATCTTCACATTTTATCATTACCATTTATTGTTGCCAAATAAACTTATTACACTTGGCAAAATCATTGGTGAAAATTATATAAGTGCCCACTTCGAATGAGCACCCACTCTCAAAGTCCAAAAATTTAATAAGTCCCCAGGGCAGTTGATCGAATAAATACGGTCTTAGGGAAACCAATTGCGTCATCCACTTGACAGATTTTTATACAGTGGATAGAGCTATCCCACGTTTGAACAACTGGGACCTGTACTACCCAGTTCTTTTATTTTAAGGCAGTGGGATGTGAAGCTCAATATATTTTCTTTAATTATCATCATTTAAATTCTGTCTAAAGTAATAGACCCTGTTTGACTCTATGCCATGTTCCAAAATGCACTGATATTAATTCAAATTCTTGTTATTAAAGGACAACCATAAAGAAACAACTGCAGGGGTATGCCTTTGGTTTGACAATTTTCTTAACATTTTCCTTCACCTGTTCACAAGCAAATAACACGGGAGCTGTTGCCAGCCCAAGTTGTAAATCTGTGGCTGTTGGTTTTCCCATTTCCATGTCAGTTGATATAAAGTCTAAAATATCATCTACAATCTAAAATAATGGCAAAAAGAACAATTTATAATAAAATTATTATCATTAACAACTTTTTTCCTGTTTCAGGAAAGTATAAACCAAAACTGGGATTTCCAGAAAGGTGGGAATGTTAAAACCAATATTATTATAAACCTCCAATGGGGTAAGGGGGAAGCAGAAACACATTTCATTTTATCCTTATAAACTAAAGGATTTAAAAATCTGCAAGATTCACTAAAATTCTAAATTATCCAAACAGTACCAAACAAAATTACCGCTGAAAAAGTTTCATTCCAATGGTCAAACTACAGAGTTTTATTTACAGTCTATGTCTCAAGATCGATTCTGGGAGAAAAAGGATAAACAAGTGACGTCAAGTTAGGACTTACAAATGTTACATCTTGATTAATGATTTTAAAATGCTGCAAACATACCTGAAAGGCCATTCCTATATTTTTTCCATATTGATAGGCTATTTCTTGAATTTCAGGGCTACAACCACCAAATACAGAAACCTAAAAATGTGTAAAATCCATTAAGTTACACTAAAATGTACTTCAAATAAGGGGAATCTTGTAAAAGCCTGTAAGGGTTTCCTATAAATTCCCCATATTGATGTAATTATATCTGTTCAATACAATAAAGTTAATGTTGTTGTTAAATCTTTGAAATACTACAATGGTTAGCCTGATAACATGGTTCAAAGTCACCCTTTAAAACCCCTCCCTTTTGATTGAGTGGCTTTGGACCACTTTTAGAATCAGGTTATTACAATGTCAAGGCATTTTCCATTCGGAACCATGAATCAGTGTACAAGTAAACTATGTTTTGATAGGAAGGATTTAGACTCACAGTTCCTACTAGAGTACATTAATGTCTGAAGACTTACCGCTTTACAACAACAAGCTATTAAACTAGCTGTCTTCTTGTATGTTTTCTCTAAGTAATGGTTAAACCTCTCATCTGGGTGTTCTTTAGATCCCAACTGCATAAACTCTCCTGCAACAATGACATAAAATATTCTGTTTATCTAATCAGGTAAAATGTTCCTCTGTCACATGTTTGAGACTAAAAATGTGTGATCATTGTAGTTAATAAACAACAAAAAGGCTTCACTCCAAAAAGTTTTTTTTAAAGACATTAATAATAATTTTGAAATGGCTTAAAACTGACGAGACACAAGTGAAATTCTGAAAACAGCCTCCTCATCTTATTTATCATGCCAATGTTAAACAAGAAAACAACATCACCAGTTGACAAAAATATAAAAAACAGAAAGTGACTGAATGTGTGACAAGACTGTGCTCTAACAGTGCTGGGAGGCCCCATGGGCGGGGCCATGGGTGACCAGCAAATCTTAGCTATTTTTACAGAAATCATATACTGGTCACCCTGGATTCCACAGGTTCAGAGCCTTGGGCTCCCTTCAAATTTTCTTAGCGCACAACCTTGTGTACTTTTTTTTCTGTCAAGTCTGTTACTAAAATACCATCTGTAATACACTGTATTTATTTCTAATATATTAGCAAAGTTTCAGCTCTGGGGTTAATACTTGGGGGTTATTATAGGAAATACAGCACAGATTTAATCACCTTTGATAAGATCATCTACAACTTTGGCTAACAATTCGACAACTTCAGCATTTCCAAGCCGAGCCAGTGCCTGGGAAGCACAAGAAAGAATGTAATCCCCTGCCAAGACAGACATCTTTTCTCCAAACATCTTATTCACAGATGTCTTGCCACGTCTTGTATCTGCACCATCTATAACATCGTCATGAACTAAGCTGGCAGTGTGGATCATCTCTGATACCATGACAACAGTTTCTTGGGAAGGTAGTATGGTCCTTAAAAATTGAATACCAGTAAATACAATATTATTAGAGAGATTCAGAATCACCTTTATGGCAAATGACAAACATCAATTATTTTTACCACGTGACCAAGTTTTGTTCTAATCTGCTGTTTAACATTTACTTTGTCGGCACAGAAATCAGTAGATTTTTGCCAGTTCATCCATACAGGTGTGTAAATTATCTCAGAAAGTTTTCATCAGCTCATTTCCTAAAATGAAAAATTGTCATCTTGAATGCGCATGACGTTTGCTGTTAGTTAAGCCATAAACATGATTCTTAATCTCTATATTAATAAGTGTGCACTCATATTTCACCCATTTGCCTCTGGAAATGTTACTGAAGAATGCATTTTGAAGCTAGTTGAGCAGTTTTCTGGTCACTGTCTTGCTATAGAGAGCTAAAACATACCACGAAGCCGTTTACAGGGCATACACTTCACAGCTTTTTGATCCAGACATAAAATATTAGCTTGTGAAGTTGACAAAAAATGTTCAGGAAAGTTTTTTGGATCTCAGAAATATAAAATGAAAGGAAGGGTAGGTGGGTGGTGGAACAAGACTTTCATGGAAATGTTCAAGTCAGTGTTACATGGTTTTTTGCATGTTTTTTTTCTCTGGGGTCCTTGACTGAATTGTGCTCATTCTGGTATGCTTTGAAAGGTCATTTTACTCTGCACCAGTTAGATGTCCTTGACCATTAAATCTGATGGAATCACAAGTGGTTAGTGGTAGAAGGGACATGGATCTGCATGGGTGGTTCAGGGGCGAATGGGTTAAGCTTTAATCCTTAAAGCTTAAGACATATCAGCATCAAATTTCTCTTTGCTGATTTTTTTCTACCCTATTTCAGACCTAAACTGCTGTTCTGAAACAACAAAATAATGAAAAATAAATAAATAATTACTTAATTTTGTTACAAAGCATATAAAAAGACATTTCCCCATTTAACACATAAATGGTTAAAATCTGTACCCAATTTCAGACCAAAAGGGGTCAAAAACCACACCCTTCAGCCCTCCAACCCCCAGATTTACACAAACCTTGAATTAGAAGTGTGATTGTTACATGCTTCAGCTGTAAGTAATACAATCATTGGTCTAATATATTTCCCCTGTCCATCGAAGTAGTAATGGCTTACATCTCTAAGTGGTCTTATGGAAGTGTTCAGTTCCTGGAGGACAAAATTTTAACATATTTCAGCAACATTCTCAAAGCCTATATTACGATAAATTTACTTCTTAGACCTACACATTCACTATTTAAATGTATTTAGTAGTGCTTCCTCTCTACTTTGTTCAGAAATCACACAAAAGCCTGACTGACTGGCTCAACAACTCCTTAGTAAATATAATGTTTGGACACTAAGAGTTTCTTCATATGGCTCTACTAAGGGATTCATTAATTAATATATTTTATTTTGGGGTAGGAAGGGAGGGTTGCTCTCCTGTAACCAGTGCGAAGAAACTAAAAGCGTACCATAATAATACATATTATTAATAGCTGATTGAGGAGAAATTTATTCAGCTTGGCAAAGGAACCTGACAGGTTTATATTTCTTTCCGTTGATGTTCATTATATGATTAATTACTATCTATAATTTCTATTTCCACAGTCCACATCATCATCAGCATGTCATTTCTTTTGCGGGTTAAGGTGAACTCAACAAATTGGCCTGCTCCAAATGTATGGGTCTTCATAGCTCAATTGGTAGAACACTGCATGCAATGCTAATACAAAGGCTGTGGGCTCAAATCCTGTTGAAGCCACTCCAGTTTCTTTTCTTTTCTTTTTTTGGGTGGTGGTGGGAGGGGAGAAGGTGGGGTCAAAATTTGTAATAATCCTACATGTATAGACCTCTATTTATTAAAATTTATGCATACATTATTGTTACCTTTTTTATTGTTTCACAAAGATGTAATAAATGTGATTTTGTTAAAAGCTGTGGATCACTTTCAGATTGTTCAACCTGAGGATTGGTTGAACAGTATCTGGTAAAACAAAATAAGGAAAAATATATTGTAGTGCATTGCATGGTATTCATAAAAAAACATTTTTGGTAATTACATGCACTTTACATGTTAGTACTGGTATAATACATTTTTATGACCAGATCACAGGATTTGAAAAAAGTCCTGTTTGGTTGTCTGGGATGAGTAAATTTTGCAGTCCTCCAAGAGACTATGGGTAAGGGCGTGGGCAAGTAATCTACGTGAAGAAAGGTAAATTTAGACATCCATGCAGTTGCCTGTAGTAAATCAAATTTTAGACCTACTTCTCCAAGGGGAAATCTGAACTAAAGTTCCACATGAGACTCTGTTTAGGGTGAGGTTGTTTAAAATTTCACATGCCATTCAGGATAGAGATAAAAAACACCATACCCTGCCCAGCAATATGATAAAGAGATGTGTCTCCCTTAGAGAGGGGAATCCCCTCCTAGCCTTAGGAAAGAAATACTCTGTTGTTACAATTTTCTAATGTGGTGTATTTAAAAAATACAGTTACTGCATGCTGTTAACCGTTATTCAAGTGGTACAATATCACGAAAGAGGGCAAATAATGTCAATGAGTTAACTATTACATAATAACTTAACTTAAATAATATCACAATAACAATTCCTTTAAAACAGCCACACCGTCTACAACAATTCTGAATTACATTAAGGATGGAGAGCATTGTGCTCACGAGAGTCTACTAACCTACGATCATGCTGAAACAATGCTTGTGAAGAGGCGAAGAGAATTATACTATTTCTGGAATTTCTGCGCTTCACGAGGGACGAGCTAGAAAGAGATCTTGCTGCAACGTGGCAAGATGACAGGAAAGAAAGACTATGATATGAATAGCGGCTGCAGACTCGTTCACATTTTCTAACACTACGAATAAGATTTCGAGAAACGATATGCTTGCAAGAAGGAAGGCGTGCAAAGGGACATGCGAATCCTGCAACCGCCATCTTGGTTTTTACGCGCTATCCGCTGGTCACAAGATTGCTTTCGAGGACTTTAAGTTCGCAATGCAAGATGGGAGGTTTGTTGCGCGTCTTGGTTAGCGTCGTTTCGCTTCGCTTCCGTTCGTTTGATTGTTGATTGTTTGCATTTCTGTTTTACCAACGGTCTTTCATTCTGCAGTGCTCAGGTGCGCGCGGTTAAATCTGGTAAGGTATTTATCCATTGCTATCATTTTGATTCCAGAAAGTTGATTTATTTGCAACATTTTTCATTATTCTTGCAACATTTGTTGCAAATTTGTTTGCGTGATCAATTTCGCGCCATTTATCTCGAGGCGCATTTCAAGTTAGATTCAACAATTCTTCTTAAAAATATTTTTAAAAATCTTGTACCTGTTCATGTGGTTTATTTTTTTTCCTATAGTAATTTTTTGTCTTATCTCACACTTCCCTAATAGATTTTGGAAAAGAACGTTTGATCAGAATGCCAGACGTGGAAGAAGTCGTGAGCGCGAGCCCAAAGAAGCGTGGTCGTCCCCCTAAGGAAAAACCCGCTCCAGCCGAAGGAGAGTCTGGAGAACCCGTTGTGAAAAGAGGACGAGGCCGACCCAAGGGTTCCACAAAAAAGAAGGACGCCCCTCCTAAACCGACAGGCCCGAAACGACCTCGTGGACGACCGAAAGGTTCTGTGAAGAAGACAACCGCCCCGAGCCCAAAGAAATCGCCAAAAAAGTCAAGCAAGTGAGAGATAGCTTCCAGTATAATCTAGGGGATACTATCAGAAACACGGACATTGTTACTCGAGATACAATATACACGTCTGCCTGTTATGTTATGTTATATATCTCTATACATATATGTACGTTCAATCGTATAGCATGCATGTAACTCGAAACGTTTTTACAAGAGCTTCTTATTTCTGTTTACTCCAATTCTGAAATGAGACTGCAGTTCTATGATTTAACTCCTTTGGATTTAACTTAATGCTACCTTCTTATGAAAGCGTTTGTTTCATCTCATGAGTACGCTCAGCATTTTTTTAAGTTGGTACCTTATGGCTTACGTGTAAATGGGGTTCACCCGAGAGGAACTTATAATTAATAATCAATCTGCATTGCGCCCATTCTTTTAAGTATTGTCTTAGCTGTTCTTGTTATAGCATTTGAGTGGTGACCATAAACGCGGATACAATATATACTATAAGCCTCGTAAGATAGTCCTTTTTATTGTTAATATTAAATATATGCTCTGTACCCTTGCAACATTAAGCCTTATCCTATTTTTGTATTGAAACTTTAAGCTGAAGTCTTGAAGAAAGTAAACAACTTGTGAAACTTTTGCGAGTATGGGTTTGTTGAGGGCTTTACATGGTTTGGTTATCTTTGCAATTTATTCCATGGAAGTATATTTTTACTTACACTGCTGCCATTGATCCTTACAATTTTTGTGATTAAACCAAGTTTAAGTTCAAGTTAGAAAATGTTTTATATTGCCTACGTGGGGATACTACAAGTTTGTGTTGAATGAAACATTGCATGGGTGGTGGAGGGAGGGGATGGGGGAGTGGGTAAAAAAATACTCTAAGGCCAACAATTTAAAACTTGGACCCGTAAAATCGAGCAAGAAAAATATCCTTCTAGTCTGAAGGTTGAGTATTGTAAAATAACAACTGTTTGTGGAATCTTAGAAAATCCAGTCTTTAACCCTCAATCGTTAATTTATCTTTCTTTTGCATAGTGAGAAAGAATGGAAGTTTGCTTGCTACAAAACAAGCATTATGTTTTTTTGCACTTTTCAGGCAAGCGTGATCTTTTTATGCCCTGTACCTGCTTCATACTTGCCTTTGCTCGCCTGAAACAGACAAACAAGCCTGCTCTACAGGTGAAAGCGATATGGGCACTGGAGAGCTGGAAGGAGCTTGATGTGAAAGGGTTGGGGATAATTTATTGATACCTCAGTTAAAAATGTCTAACTTGCAATAACATTAAAATCACTACAGCTCTTATTAAGCTGTGTTCAGGGGTCATTGAACACTTCAACCACACCCAGATTGGTCTCTTCTTGGAGGTGTTTGATAATTATCATATTTGCAATAATATCTGTCAAAGTAATGTGTGCACATGCCTTGAAAGGGTACAGAGGGCTAGGATCGCACCCTTCAGATCAAATCTGGCTTAAAGGATGTGGGTTTTGTTCCAGCCAAAAGCCTCTACGAAAAGGCAGGCCGTAACCAAACAGTGGCGGATCCAGACTTTCTGATGGGGGTGGGGGCAGTCATCCAGACTCTGAGATAAGGGAGGGGCTCTGTCCCCAAAAATAAGTTTTCAGCTGTTTGGGCCTCATTTTGGTCCAAAAATAAGAGGTCGCCAGGCTTCCCTGGGTCCACCACTGCCAAATTTCCTAAGTTATTTATGATTGTTTTCATGCACACACAATTTCAAAATACCTCCCTGTCAATATTTCTTAGTTAGGGAAAAAGAGATATATGGGCAAAATTCTATAAAAATTAAGCCAATAAAACATTTTGGAGCACTCAAAGTGCTTTTGAATATGATCAAGAATCCTGTGACCTCTTTGGAGTGAGTTTTGTGGAGGTTAAGTCCAGGCTTGCGGCACTGGGATGGTGTATGCAGGATTTTATCCGTCTGAGCAAATTAAACCAGTGATATGTTGTCCTCCATGTAGTTGGAGTACTTTTGACGGGGTGGGGCCGATCACTACATCTCAGCTAAACTTTCCCCACCCTACCCTCCCATTTTCCTCCCCTCTCCCACCCTTACCCCACCCACAGTACCATTCCCAACAGTTGTGCACTCGATGAAGGACTGGAACTAGCAAAACAAATTTTGTCTTTGGTCATTTGAACGAGGAACAACCATCGTCATTTTAACTCCCAGAATTTCGACAATTTCACAGAGGGGAAGTGATCTTTGAACTTCAGCAAGATAAAATAATAACCCCTATTGATTACTCAAGATTTGTGCACCTCTTGAAAAGCAGAAATTTGAAACCTTATACGGTTCACGTGAGTTTTAGTGGTGGCCGAATCTACACGCTGCTTTTTCTACCGCGATTCGAATGGCAATAACTTCGAGCTTGAACACACGTTTTGTCGCCTGCTACATTTGAGCTGATAAAAAAGAATTTATGTCCAGTCAAAACTTTTCAAAGTGAGATATTTTTTGCTACGAAATTTATTGAGGATGCATGGGAAGACGGCACGATTTTTACGGTATAATTTGGCAACTGGATGAGTGATGGAGACGAACTACGATGGAAGCGAGGAAGAACAGATATTTTATGATACAGTTAGGGAATATGTGGTAAGCAATGAACAGGCTTTTATCATATTTTTAATTCTTTGCTGTACAAATTGAGCTCAAACGCCAAAGGTCAGTAAAAGGGTAATCGTTTGGTGATGAAAATATGCATTGCTAATTAATTTTTTTATGGCATGTTTTTCACCAACTTAGCTTATTTGTACGTTTGAGCTTATAGAGGGTAAACTAACGTAGATCGGAGTTAATTAAGCTTATTAGTTCTTACTTTAAATCACTTTAAATCAGTGATTGTAATAATAACACATTTACACATAATTAATTACGCAACTGTCCTTGGTGTGCACTGTTGCACAGCAAGATAATCTAAAATGTAAACAAGTTGATTTGATTGATGCCTGCATATGTTACCTCAGCCTTGACAAAACCCTATGTCAATAGGGTTTTGTTGTAGTATATTATTTTGTTGTTGGTATAGATTGTTTTCGTATAAATTACCCGTAAACTACCACAGATGCTTTTGGGGAGTTTGTTAAGCACAAACAAGGTTTTACAATCCTGGTTCCAGAGGTCCATTCTCAAAATACCTATTTTGAAGTAAACTGTGCTTATGGTTTGATAAGGCTCCCGAGATGGACCTCTGGTCACACAAGCAAGCAACCTCATTTCCATGCAAGAAATCAGTTCAGAATCTGAACTGGGTCACCGATTGGATACTCCCACATCCGCAGGGAATTAAACAAAGGGGGGGTACTGCCATATATGGACTCTATAGGTATGTGCCGCTGTGAAGGGTATGGTTTTCAAGCAGTTTACTCTAGGATAGTGTATATAAATCAGAGCGTTTGGGTCTAGAATAGGGTATCATTTTTCAGGAAACCGATCAGGTGGTTGAAGATTTTATCTAGACTAGGGAAACAGCTACTCTAGGATAGGGGGGATTTGGGGCGTTTACTCTAGTATAGGGTAGCAAAATTCAGCTGAACTAGCTCTAGTATAGGTTAAGGGTTCTAGGGCCCCAGCGGCACATCCCCACCCAGAAATTCCTAAAGTACCCACCCCCCCCCCCCCGGGAATTAATGCTGTAACAGTGAACTTGATTGGCTGCATTGAAGAACTTCACTTCATGAGATTAAAAACTGGTTGCAATGTTCATAACAAACAGAATAATCCAGGGTTGTAATTCAGAGATCTTGGCTTTCATGTTTCCTTTTGGAGGTGTGGCTAAGCAATCTCTAGCTAAACTTCAAAGTAATAAGTGAACATCCGACAACTAAATCAATGTTTCTCAAGGAAGAAGCTTTGTTTGAATTTTTCCTACCAAAGGAGGTACTGCGAATGAATATGATGATTTCCTGCTATGCTTGGTCTCGCTGGGCTCAGTTCTGCAGTGTTGTTTACATGAAGTTGAATTCTCAAAGATAGTACCCTGGGTGCAAAAGATTTTTTCTTTTTTTCCTAATTCCTGATGGTTTGCGGTGTGTTTTATTTGCTAAGAAAATGCAGCACAATGATGTTTTGTTTGCCATAGCACATGTTTTTTTTTTTTTTTTCGTGCACATGAAGTAAAATTGAAAACGAAAACAGTATGTTGACTTATTTTTCGCGTATGACAGAATGACAGATGGAAGTAAGGCATTTAAAATACATATGTTATAGAGTCCACAATTCACACATGGTCTGAAGTAGTATTTTAAAACCATTTTCAGTTGTCTGCGCAGATCATTCCGTGGCATGAGTTCTAAATGTTTCTTGACTGGGAAACCGAAAAAACACGGCTGACATGATACATGTATTTTATACTGACCAGGGAGATAGGCTGATATTTTGTACATTAAGTAAAGATGAACTGGGTTTGTGCTAGGTGGAGTTATCGGTTAGAGGGACAATCCCATGATGAATGTAGGGTGGCAGGTATTCAGTCTCTTCAATCAAGTAGCCGATGAACGGCTAAAATCCGTTTCTCCTTGTGGAAAATGTCTTAGTCCTCTTTTTTTCCCACAAGTGGACTAATTAAATTAGTAGGATCTTATGTAAATATCGCTGAGTTTATCGACATTATTTGTTGCTGCTTTGAGTGTAAAACAATCCACCATGGTGTTTGGGAAATTCTTTGCCTTTTTTTAGCCACCAAAAACAAAAGCTACTGCATCTACAAGTGTTTGAAAGGATAGAAAAGATCATATATCATACACATAAGGGAAAATTTTCTTTTTGAACAAATTCAATAATTCTGTTTGAAATGCTTCACCATGGTGAACCAATCGTTCTTAAAGTCTACCCTTGTAGAATCAGACACTATGTAGAATCTATGCAAATGCTATGTCACAAAGCTATGTAAAACCTATGTTAATCAGTCATACATTGCTTTAACCAGATCCTATGTTGTTTCTATACCAGGACTATGTTTTTTGTATCGAAAATGCTATGTTTTCGCTAGTCAAACGGAACCTACTTAAAAGCTATGCAGTTTTTAAAGGTAGGAATAAAGGAAGAAATGACATAGTTTCCACATAGCCTATACATACAGTTTACTTAGCTTGTGGAAAGAGATTTTAGACTTCATAGTCAACCTCATAGAAAAATCATAGAAAATAAATAGCCTTCACATAGGACTGAAATAGAGTTTACATAGTAAAATGTAATAGGGAACAGTTGACTAAATAGCTTTTGAATAGGGTTTGCTTAGAATTTAGATAGCCTAGAAATAGTAAAAACATATGAAAAACATAACCTTTTTAAAGGTGACATATACTTTGCATAGCATTAAAATAGGGAAAACACAGAACAAATAGTCTTTGCATAGGTTTGAAATAGGATTTTAATAGTATTTGAATAGGTAAAACATATCACATACACAGGCTTTAACTAGAGTTCAAACAGAAATTACATAGAATTGACATAGTCTCTTATGTATGTAGGTTTCGATCTGGATGTTACTAAAACGGGGAACGGGGAGCGGGGAGCGGGGAACGGGGAACGGAAGTCTGGGAACGAGTTGTCAGCGGAAACCTCCATAAAAATCCAATATGGCCGATGATCGATGATAGAGAACCGTCGAAACAAACTTAACCGATAACGGCGTTACTTTACTTGAACTATATGCTCATGAGGTGCTTGAAATAATACGGAGGTAATAACTTCATGACGTTTTTCACCTTTTTGCGTTTTACTAAACAATTATCCGTAGGAAACAAAATGTGCTCCAACAGCAGTTGAAAGAAGCCAATCGGGACAAAAACTCTCAAAGCACATGTACAGCCATATTTGGAACTCAAGCGAATCTATACTGAGTCTAGCCCACAATAGACTGCAAAACAGTCCGTATTTTTGCGTATTCAAGTACGCGCGAGCAGTCAAACAAAAGGTCTGGAATGAGGCTGAAAACAGAGAGCGAGACTGGGGAGAGACGCTAAAAATACGGGCTGTCCGTTTTGCATACGTTATATTCGTTCGAATTACCCGCTTCTCCCAGCCACGGGCAATTCCCATTGGCTAAATTTCCATGCAAGCTGTCACCAAGCTGTCAAGTAATGTTTTCAACAAGTCATTCACGTTGTTCCATACCGTGATGAATTGCTAAAGCTTTCTCTATAAAATGACAGATGTTGATCGCCTGGATTTGCTCGCAAGAATTGGGATTTGTTTTAAAATCGGAGCAGAGGGAAGCTTTGGAGTTGCTACTTAAGGGAAAGGATGTTTTCTGTGTTCTACCAACAGGATTTGACAAAAGCCTTATTTATCGGATGTTTGTTCATGCAAAGGGTTCTTCAAGTTCCGTGCAACCGCCGACCGTCATTGTTATCTCGCCTGGCTAGGTAGGAAACACACGACTTTTACCTCATGGAAACATGCCGCTTGTTCCAATGAATTATTTTCTCTGTCGAGTAGATTATGCTTTGGAGAAAAACGTTTTGACTGAGCAAATGTGAATTTTGGTCGCTTATTAAATATATTTCATACTGAGAGGTCGTGACACGCGTATTGATTTTCTCTGGTAGGCATGATTTGCCCTCTGACGCAAGAGCATTTTCTTTCTTGGCCCCTTTAGAAATGTAAAGCTCTTCATTGCGGCTGATTAAGGGTTTTAGGTTGTTTTATTTCTTCAAAGTGCCTCCTGGATTTGAATAATTTTAAGCGATTTTCTTTGTGTCCGTGAATGTGACTTTTTCCTGCAATGTTTTGTCACGCTGGGCCTAGCTCGTTAGCGTTTTTGGCAGGATTTTAAATTCTCACAGATAGTAATTTACAGAGCTAAATCACCAAGACCTGGTTTGGAATGAGGGGATTTACTCATTCTTTTCAATCGCAATAATTGTTCATTGTCAGTTGGCGTGTTCAGTTCTTCTCTAATTTGCGAAAGCATCGCCGTGCAGTTTCCCGGGGCAGTTTCTAACCGTTGTTCCGCACGGAGAGCAAACTGCTGTTGTGGAGAAAGATTCTCCTTCCTCGAGGACAACGAAAAGTTCGTTTTTCAGTAGGTCGGCCCACTTTGGTAACGTTTCCCCTTTTCTGGTAGGCGCAACAAACGCATTTTCCGAGCTTATCCATCCATTCGTAAAATTGCCGAACTGTGTTTTGAAACAACAGCCGCATTCTACAATTTGTCCAAAGCCCTCGGCTCTTTCGCCTTTCTCCCTCTTCGAGGAGCAGGCACAGGCTTTGTTGTCGTACTGCCACTTTCGCTCATTTTTGATCCTCCACTATATATACTACATTTCAATATATACACTACATTTCACAGGGAAGCAACGCTATTAAAATACTGGATTACAGCGTCAATAATAACACGCGAGTCTATCAAATTCACAAAGAGGGCGGAGTTGCGAACAGATTTTTGATAGCTCGACGACATTTTTGAACCCCCTGGTCGGAACGAACTCATTGTATGGAAAACGGACAGTCGGTTTTTTTTCTCTCGCCTCACACACCCTACGGGCGTGTGAGGCTCGCGCGCTTCGCGCGCGTAAGACTCTTACGCCACGCTTTACCGATTTCTTTACTGATTTTGAGAAAAAAACCGACTGTTTTGCAGTCTAAGCCCACAAAGCAATTAACTACTTTTCCATGATAGATAACATACATCGAAGTAGTCAAGTAGCTTGTGTGCAAACTTCTTCTATTTCCTTTGATAGAGATGACTGCTTTGAAAAATGTTATTGACCACGTCATCACATAATTAGTAAGACTACTTTAACAAGGTGGTTCTGCTTTTAATATTATTAGATCTACTACACTGCAAGCATTCATGATATTGAAGTGTTTCACTGATCCATGAAAATAAAATAATATCATTTTATTATTTTGTGAAACAATTTGTTTCAGGTCAGTTTGCCCAGTATAGACCAGTATAATGACCCTAATGGAACCTAATTCACTCATTTTCCTCACCCTAATCAGTAACTGCTTCAAAGTCGTACAGTGGCCATTTGTCTTTCTGCGAAATACCCCTGACGACCCTAGTTTTCCTGAATCAAAACCATTGGATGGCATTGAATGCAACATTCTCCCTCACTGCAGATCCTCAATTAACCCCCCGCCCCCCTAAGAATGAGATCCCAAACCCCTCCCTTTTGAAGAAAATTGTCGTAAAATAATCAAAGTACCTCTTCATGGGCACGAAACCTTTGGTGCAATTTATACCATACAATATCGCTGTATCAAGTACTGTTCTCGGTGCAGGAGGAGGGGGTACTATAATGACCTAAACAGAGCCTGAAGCCTTTTTCAGGCTTCAGGTACATGAAAGGGAAGGGGTTTTTATAGTTGAAGTATATGAAAGGGACCAAAATGAGATCAGTCACAGATGCATTTTATGGATGTGAGAGACAAGAAAACCTGTTTTTGTAAAGATGGTGTATTTACAGCAGTTAAAAAGGGATGCAGCGTTCAAAATTAGGTATGTGAAAGGGGTACCATTTGTCACTAGAGGGTATACAAAAGGGGTACCTTTTCTGTCTAAAATGGTACATATAAAGGGTAAAGGGTTGGTCCCTGGGGCAGAGCCTCTTTGGTGAGTACTCCCCCCCCCTCCCTCTGGGTTACTGTTACTCTAGTCTGATTCTTCTCTTTAATTTCTTTGATACTGTGCTTCATTAAATGAATTAAAATTCATTTAAAAGCTTCTTGCCCCTTTTTTGAAACCCCGATATGTTAAAAGAAATTATGTCCCCTGGAGGGGAAATAAAATCAGGGAAAATGGGTAGCAAGATCTATTGTGTTATTTTACATGCATTGAGTAAGCGTAATGTGGAAACTATACACATACAGTTGTTGCTGCGTGTTTACTGAAGAACATATCGGCACTCCAATCTTTTGCCTCCCATCACTTGTGTGAGACCTTAGACTCTTTATTTCCAAAACTACAGACAGCTTGCTTGAAGGCTTATCAACCACCTTCTAATAAGCTGCCAGCCTCTGCAACATTGATGATGTGATGCTTGATGGTAGGTGTACTGCAATATTACTGAATCAAGCTAATAAAGCGGCTTGACAATATTAACTGGTTTAAGTCACTGACACATTCAGTTTTACACTGAGCTTGAAATATTTTTCTCCACAGTAAAAATAATGTTCATTAAAGAGAAGCAGAGCTCCCCTCTGCAAAAACATTAAAGGAGTGCCCCTAGAAAAAAAATAAGCATCCAGAGGGCTAAACAGAGGAAGTATACTTACCATGCATATTTTAACAGCTAGCCTTTAGAAAGTACCTTCCAACCAAAGACTTCAAAGTACTTCCCCCACGTATACTTGCAACACTTAATATTGCAGCTCAGTTGTGGTTCACTTTTATCCTAAGTTTGAATTTTATTCTCTTTGTTTTGAACTCATAATCATAAAATTCATATTACCGTACCCCCAAACAAAGGGAAGCAAAATTTAAACCTAGGTTATAATTAAATAAAACCACAACATAGCCATTTGCTTTGAAACAACTGATATCTTTAAGACCAAGGTATGATTGATGTTCCTGGCACATTCCCCGTTAATATGTTTAAAGTTGCCTTTTATTGATGTATTAAATAACCTGATCCATCTTATCTTTTCAAATAATACAATTGCACTTACTTCTCATCATAGGTTTGTAAATATAATATTATTAGACTTACAGTTTTATCTCATCGCCAACATGTTTTAATTTGGGCTTGAAAAAACGCTACAGCTAAGAAGGAGCTCCACTGCTACACTATTACTGTCGAGGAAATACACCTGGCTGCTTCGATCTACGTTATCTTTCAGCATGTATTTAAGCCAAAACCCTACGAAAAGCGTCAAGGAAAAGTAGTTCATTGCTTTGTGAGTTAGACCCAGTATAGATTCGCTTGAGTTCCAAATATGGCTGTGCTTTGAGAGTTTTTGTCCCGACTGTAGCTTCGTTCAACTGCTGTTGGAGCATATTTTGTTGTTTAGTAAAACGCAAAAAGGTGAAAAATGTCATGACATTATTACCTCCGTATTATTTCAAGCACCTCATGAGCATATAGTTCATTAGTAAAATAGCGACCTTAAGTGTTGTTTCGACGCTTCTCTATCATCGATCTTACCGGGTCCTTGATGCTTACCGGCCATTTTGGATTTTTATGGAGGTTTCCGCTGACAACTCGTTCCCAGACTTCCGTTCCCCGTTCCCCGCTCCCCGCTCCCCGTTCCCCGTTTTAGTAACATCCGTTTCGATCTGCTTAAGCAAATGTAGTGTTTAAAATACGTTCGTAAAAATCGCCAAAATAGTAAAAATAGTATAAACATATGAATTAGAATACCTTTTACATTGGTAAGAAATAAGTTTTGAAACGAAAAATTGAAAACTATGACAATATTATACCACGAACACTATAAATAGTAACACAAATGCAGTATTTTCATGGAGGTTTCAGAATCGAAACCCCAAGTTAAAGTTTGCTTAATTTGCTTATCGTGTAGACTTTTCGTGTAGACTCTTCAGTGCCATACAGTTTCCTTTTGACTGCAGCGAATAAGTATCTGCAAACAGAAAAGTGGAGATTTTAAGGCAAATGAACATAAAAACAACCTGACGTTTTAGAATTCAAACGAAGGAGTATCAAAGCGTGATCGAAGGTGACCGATGCTTGTTCAGATACGCGAAAAGGGGAGACAACACAGGCAAATCGAAACTTAATTCAGAAAAACATCACTTACCAACATTAGGAATACTTGTTGTTGAATCTGGCAGGAAAAAGACTGGAAATTAAAGTAAAAAGCAGCGTCTTCTTGTAAAAACGCACGCTTACAGCTCGTCTTCTTTGACTTGAAAGCGCCCGCGTGGAAACAGACAATTTTCACACCTTTTCATTGGTTGAAAAGGCCCACGTGACGATAAAACGCAAAATACGCATGTGTTGAACTCACGGGCTTCCCTGGGAACTAGCGGAAACAAAATGGCTGACAAACACCACCGAGGACTTTTCCGAGGACTGCAGCTAGCGTTTCGCAGTTTTGACCATGCAGTTATATTCGGGAGACGTCCAAAATCAAGACGAAAGATCGAGCCCAATGTAAAAGAAGAAAATGATGCATGGAAGTATCATTTCAAGGAAAGTTAAGACAGGGATGATGGATGTAGCGATTCAATGCTTAACCAAAATCTTCTCACTAAGAAACTATCTGCAAACACAAAAAAATTATAGTACATGATTTTTCAGTGTTTTAGTTTAAAACACTGCTTTTTACTTTGTAAGTATGCTTAGCCTTCTGTAAGCGCTACCATCAACATGCCTAGTCACTTAAAAGCTATGTTGGAATATCACATAGGAAACGCATAGACTACATATATTTTTCATATGAGTGACATAGGAAAAAATATGTTTATGTAAAAGCTATGTAGCCTTTATCTCATGATAAAGCTAAATGAAAATGTCACATAGTGAATACATAGGCTGCAAATATGTTTCATCACATAGCATAGAATATACATAGCACTATGTAAAAGCTAAGAAACCTGTTGGAAATAAAAGTGAAGATCGAGATGGTATGTAAAAGCTATTTTACTTTAATGCATAGTGAATACATAGGATGCTAATCGGAAGGAAAAGCAGAACTTTCTTTTGCATAGTAAATACATAGCTATGTCAAGACTATGAAAAGATTTTGAATAGTATTTGCATAGGTATTCAAAAGCTATGTGCTTTTCAAATAGCCTAAACATAGTTTCAACATAGATTTTGCATACTTTGGACTATGTTGTTTGGTGTGTTACATAGTTAATACATAGGCAGTAATGAATATAACATAGCTGAAACATAGTCATACATAGTAAACAAATAGCATGAGCATAGGTTTTGCATATGTCTGGTTCTACAAGGGTATGGTACTACAATTATTGTAGGACACAGTTGTGAATCATTGAGATTTTGCGCTAAAAAGATAGATAGCTCGTTAAAACAAATGATCTTGTTTAATAATGTATTTCTCTACATAGTTGGCTCATTTTTGTATATAGGACCGTTAAGATCATAAAAAAAGAAGAAAGTGGTTCCATTTTCACTGACACCTCTGTGTAGTTATTTGAGATAAGGACCAATTTGCGATATTCTCTACCATTCTCTCCCAGGAGCTTGCAGAAAAAAACATGTCACCGTAAATACCAAATCAGTTTCACTTGATAAAATGGCTCTAAAAAATTTGTCTCCATTGCCATATGTTTGAGCAATTTTTCCTCCCCTTCGGTCTTGAAATATGCACCCCTTGTCCAATCCCAATGTACTCATAGGCAGCGCCTTTTCACTGAAGTGGTTTTAGAGAAATGTACCTTTAAATCGTCCATACTCAAAAGTATGCATAGCTGCTTTATAATTATTAGTCCGACTTAACATCTAGAACAGTGAAAACAAGAATGCTCGTCACATTGTTAACACTGAAGGCGGCAACGGTTACCCTTCATACATTTTGTTAGCTGTCCAATCCCTACTGAGGCAAAGACAATCCTTGTCAAAAATCGTTGAAACAGAAGCCTTTTGTCTTAAATTTTCTACAGATTTCTTACATTCACTGTTCACGCCTTTATTCTCACTCAAATGTGCCCCTCTCCTTCCCCAATGTTGAGCCACACTTATTTTGGAGCACTGAGATGACTGCAATACCTAAATCAACTTCAGGGAAGGGGAAAATCACACAATAATAATTATTGTGACGAGTATTGTAGCTAACATGTAGTTCACGGAAAGTGGGTCAGGCCAGTTAGCCCGGCTCACTGGGCTGGCGTACGCGACATAAACAGGTCATTGGAGATGTAGTCACATCTTCTCTCAGGTGTTCAGAGATGGGGGAGGAAGTAACACAAAATTGCTTCTTTATAGTTACATGTACCTTGTTTAATTACTTACTCTCACATTTTTTGGTAAAATATTGATGGTGTCCTTTTTTCATTTTTAGATTTTCCTCCTTGTGTTTATTATTTTGTATGGTATTTCACATGTCATTATCAGTACCTACAAGAGAAAGAGAGATGAACTTGATTCAGGTAGGAAAGAATAAGGAATAGCCTATAATTTCCTGAAAATTTTGGTACATTTTTTAATCATTCAAACCTTAAATTTTGTTATTTTTTATGTCTTTGCCTTCACTAGATGAGGAAGATGCCTTTGTGTATAGGATATCGTAAGTATAACTAGTCTGGTAGCTAAAAGTTGAATATAAGGGTACTTGTTGAAGTTGTTATTGATAGCAATTGCCTTGTATATGTTACGGACTCTATTCCATGTATGAATTATAAAGGTATGGAAAAATGACCGAGTAGTGCAAAGTTTCACACTAAACAAAATAAAAGTAGGTGTCATTTTAATGGTCTGAATTACATGTATAAATAGAGGAACATGGTTAAGCCTGTTGCTCGAGCTTTGTAAATAATTTGCTTGGCTACACTGCAATGCATTATTATCTGCTAGACTAATCTACAAACTGTAAGCCCTTCAATAGCCAGTGAGAAGACATGTAGTGTCAATTACAATGGGGCCAGCAGTTTCTGCTAGTGTACACCCCTAATTTCCCCATATTTTTTTTGCACTGCATATATTCAGGGCTCCGAAAAGGCTTGAATTGATCCAGCTTATCCTCTGGGCAAGCAGCTCATGTCTTTGTTAACCCTTTGGGTCCCAAGGGTGACCATCATCAATTTTCTCCTAACAACATCAGAAGATCATCAAAAGTAAAGGTTATGAGAATTACTAAATTGATTACCAAAGGGAGAATGCTTTGATCTTAAACTGAGTTCAGTCAACTGTTCCAAAAAGAAATGTGTGGAGATCAGTTTGGAGAATTTGTTTGTGGATCTTGGGGCTTAAAGGGGTAATTATTTTATTAGAGAGTTCCTTGCCTGGACTCAAGGAGAAGTATGACATAGGTAATTATGGTGGCAAAATTTCTGGATCACATCAATAGGGAACTTAAGCTATGATGCTGGTGATGACAAAGAGAACTGGAAAAAAGAAATAGGTTTATATCGGCAAAACAACAACTGTGCACTCATGCATCACGCTTTTTGTACATTTCTTAGCCATCGTTGCGTGACTGCAACGAGAAACTTCCTAATTTCACGCACTCGCTTTATGAAGTAGGTGAGTACAATGCCAAAATTTTCCTTCTTTCTCTTCTTTTTCTAAACTTAGACACACTCCTTTTGGATTTAACTCCAGAAAATTTTGCCAACATTTGACATATTAAATGAATTTAATTAAGATCGATGAAGTTTGAAACAGTGCAAATTCACTCTATAAGTGATGTTTTCAGTTTGTTGTCATCCAGAAATTTTGCCACCATGGCAAAATGACATTTACAACTTCCCCTCTCTATATACTTGTACGGTACTACTGGACAGGACTTTTTTTGAGCCCTGATACATGTATTTTTAAAATTTTATGTTGTGTTACATTTTAGGTTTTGGTTGTGTAATTTCACCCTCACAGTGTCCTTGGGCGCGGTACTTCTCCTTCCAATGTCTATTTTTAGCAATGAGATCATGATTATGTATCCCAACAGTTACTATATCAAGTGGCTCAATGGTTCTCTTATTCATGGTGAGTAAAGTTACAGGATTATGTTCCATAAAGGAGAATGATTTACTTGAAAATGTAATTAGCAGCAGTAGACCCAATTCACAATACCCGCCACCTTTGCATGAAACTTGAGCCGAAAAACCTTATACTCTCACAGGCTAAGTACTGATGGGATAGAAACAATGTGATGTGGTTTCTCATTGGCTAACAAGAGATAAATGTTGCTAATGTGAAAAAAATTGCAGTCAACTTTTTGGTATTCTAGACAACAGAAAGTGGAAAACTTTTCATCATAAATATGATAATGGCAAATTATGGATGGAAGTGATTACTTCTTCATTTAATGCAGCAGTGACCATAGTAGCCTGTGTACAGCTACCCTCTCCCCTCAGAAAAAAAAAGAGAAGGGGTGTCTGTAATTGACTTTTACAGATAGTGTATCGGAATAATTACACATAAATTAAAAATAGTTTTCACTGACCAAAATTCGCTCCTGGCAAAGTAAAAATGAGTTTAAAACCTTATTTTATCAAGTATGAGACTTTTAAGATGAATTTTTCATTCTACTGTAATTTAATAAGACAATTTTCAACTGTTCCTTTATCTTTTCTAAAACTAAAAATGTTCTAGTCCCATAGACAAGTCATGTCAAAAGTTTACATATCTGAACTAAATTTCTACCTTTCGCGGACAATCGGACATACTACGTTTTGCCACACCCAGATAAATTAAAAATGGTTTCAGCTAACATACATGTAGTTTTCTATCAGATCTACCACTAACAGCCAATCAGATCTCTTTCCATACATTCCGAGAAAAATCACGTGGTCTTCATACATAGGGGAAGACATATCACATATCCCAAGTGGGGAAACACAAATCACTAGTTATATGTGTTTTTCAGGTGGGGGAACACATAACACTAGGGATATGTGTTTCCCAGGTGGGGGAACACATAACACTAGGGATATGTGTTTTCCAGGTGGGGGAACACAAATCACTCGAGATATGTGTTTCCCAGGTAGTGGAACTCAAATCACTAGTTATATGTGTTTTTCAGATGGCGGAACACATAACACTAGGGATATGTGTTTTGGAGGTAGGGGAACTCAAGTTACTAGGGATATGTGTTTCCAAGGTGGGGGAACACACAACACTAGGGATATGTGTTTCCCAGGTGGGGGAACACATACCACTAGGGATATGTGCTTCTTAGGTGGGAGAACACATAACACTAGGGATATGTGTTTTCCTAGTGGGGGAACATATGACACTAGGAAAATGTTTTTCCCAGGTGGGGGAACATATAACACTAGGGATATGTGTTTCTTAGGTAGGGGAACTCAAACTAGTAGGGTTATATGTTTCCCAGGTAGGGGAACACATAACACTAGGGAGATATGGTTCCCTGGTGGGGGAACACATAACAGTAGGAATATGTGTTTCCCAGGTAGGGGAAGTCAAATCACTAGGGGTATGTGTTTCCCAGGTGGGGGAACACATAACACTAGGGATATGTGTTTTTTAGCTGGGCGAACACATAGCACTAGGGATATGTGTTTCCAAGGTGGGGGAACCCAAATCACTAAGGATAACTTTTTTCCAGGTGGGGAAACACATAACACTAGGGATATGTGTTTCCCATGTGGCAGAACACATAACACTAGGGATATGTGTTTCCCAGGTGGGGAACACATAACACTAGGGATATGTGTTTCCCAGGTAGGGGAACACATAACACTAGGGATATGTGTTTTGCATGTGGGGGAACACATAACACTAGGAATATGTGTTTCCCATGTGGGGAAACACGAAACACTACGGATATCTGTTTCCCAGGTGGGGGAACACATAACACTAGGAATATGTGTTTCCCAGGTGGGGGAACACACAACTCTAGGGATAGGTGTTTCCCAGGTGGGGGACCAGAAAACACTAGGAATATGTGTTTCTAAAGTGCGGGAACACATAGCACTAGGGATATGTGTTTCTGAGGTAAGGGAAATCAAATCACTAGGGATATGTGTTTCCCAGGTACGGGAACTGAAATCACTACTTATGTGTGTTTTTCAGGTGGGGGAACACATAACACTACGGATATGTGTTTCTCAGGTGGGGGAACACATAACCCTAGGGATATGTGTTTCCCAGGTGGGGGAACACATATCCCTAGGGATATGTGTTTCCCAGGTAGGGGAACTCAAAGCAGTATTGATATGTGTTTCCCAGGTAGCTGAACACATAACCTGGTGGGGGAACACATAACACTAGGGATATGTGTTTCCCAGGTTGGGGAATAGAGAACACTAGGGATGTTATTATTCTTTGCGCCTTGATCTAAATAGCCAATCCCTGGAAAACCTATGTAATTTAATCCTTAAATCTAGATCCAAATCTTTTCTCATTGGTACTTGGTATAGACCTACTACTTCATTAACAGAAATTTTCTCTCATTTTGAAACTTTGATCAGTAAACTTGATTCTGAAAATGCCGAATTTTTTTTAATGATTTCAACTGTAACTTTGCTTTGTGTCAAACCGATAACAATACTGTGTTACTCTCTAATTTATCGGATGTCTACGGTCTTCATCAACTTATTAACATCCTAACTCGAGTGACATATGCTTCCTCTACTTTGATTGATGTGGCCTTTAGAAAATGCTTGGACAGAGTTGTTTGTTCGGTTGTATCTCATGTAAGCCTATGTCACCATAGTCTAGTTTATGTTTTTTGTAAGGTTTCGATTGATCCATCCTCCTTTAAAGGTCATTCTACAGTAACTTATAGGAAATTTAAAAATTTTAATTCCGCTAGGTTTGGTTTCAATATTTCTCAGCAAAACTGGGACAGTGTAAACAACTATGAAGACTCTAATGATATGTGGAAAGCTTGGAAAAGTCTTTTCTTTCAATGTGTCGATAAGGATGCCCCGCTACGTTTCAAGCACGGGATATGTGTTTCCCGGGTAGGTTGCAAGCAACCAGCAATTTTCAAGGGTTTCTGAGAAGTTGAACTTAAAGGATTATAAGCTTTAACGCTTAAAGTCCCAATAGTGACCATCAACAATCTTTTTGTGACAATCTCCATATGTTGCCAAGAGAAATGGTCATGAGAGTTAATAAAATGGTCACTAAATAGAAAATGCTTTTATCTGTCTTCAAACTCTCAACTAATTCTGTAAAGAAATGCATAAAGATCAGTTTGGGTTAAATGGGAATGTGGAGATGGAATTCAAGGCTGCAGGGCCTGACTTCTGCGCCATGCTGTCTCCTTACAAACTTAGTGATCTGGTATAGGGTAAGGATTGCAGGAATGGACTAGAAATTATTTATAAGGATTACAGTTTTTTCTGTTGCTAGAGTGCCAGCAGCTAATATGCTTTAGTAAACAAAAGTTCACGTAATGATACTAGTTACCATGAACCTTGTTCCACTCATGAGGACAAGTGATAACAAAATTATACTTTAATTTTCAGTCAACCTTTTTAATTTAAAATATTTTTTATTGTAGTTTTTTATCTTTCTTACCAATCTGTAAATCATTATACCCTCTCACAATTCTTACATGCAGTTTAATGAGACAGGTTGTTGCACAATGTTATCAACAAAGGTGGTGATCTGGCCACTAGTTAAAAACTTGCAGCATAAATAGAATTTCCATATCAAAATTATTTTATTCTGATGATTGAATTTTGAATAATAATTATAATAATAATAATTGTTTTATTACACAGGGATGTGGAATCAGATATTCCTAGGCTCCTACATGTCACTTTTTGTTGCCATTCCATTTGCCTATTTTTTCACGGAGTCAGAAGGATTTGCAGGATCAAGAAAGGTAAATTTGCTTAACATACAACTAGTATCTGTTACCCCTTCCTGCTTCTTCAGACGGCCCTATCTATCTAACATTCCTCAATCTACCCTCACAGTTACTAAATTAATGAGTACATCAAGGGCGTGTCTCTGTAAGAACTGACCAGTGATTTTGGATTGAAAAATTAATTTCCGTTATATTCTGGGATATTAAAGCCTCTACCTAAGTAATTCGAAATATATATTTTTAAGAATTTTTGAATTTTCAGCCTGTTAGCACCTGCGCCATAGCCTTTGAAACTGCAGAAAGTGCCAACATTGTTGGAGCTATAGATAACAAACAACTGCCTCAAGTAGTAGTAGTTGCAGTTTCAAAGACTATGGTGCGGGTGCCAGCTGGCCGAAAATTCAAAAATTCCTAAAAATATATATTTCGCATTTTCGGTGAAACGTAATGCATTTTTATAACTACTTAGGTAGAGGCTTTAATTTCCCGGAAAATTAGGGAAATTAATTTTTCTTAAAAAGTAGAGTGTACACCAACGGTATGATGTACTACCATTACCTTCGCTAATAGTGATATCAACGATATTAATGTGCGGCTTAATTATGATCTGAATAAGGTCTTTTTAGTAGGTTTTAGCTTTTTATATTTTGGGTTTTATTACTAAATTTTTATATATTTATTGAGTTGTTTTTAAAATTGAATAATATTATAACATAGCTGTAATTATTACAGATTTTATTTATACACCTTCGTATTTTGAATTTTCTAGCTCTTCGATGTAACGTGTCAAAATATATGATTGATTGATTGATGAACTTAACATCATATAATTAAAGAAATACAGCAAAATGAACTCGCAGTGCCACTTATCCATACTGAAACCTTCAAAAAGAGTTTCAGTTATTCTTGGAGTGGTATTGTGGAACGGTTTACTGGTCGGGATCTTTTAAGGCAAGCCTCATCACTGACAAGTTTCAAATCAAGTTCTCGTTGCCACAATTTCCCAAAGTAAAGAAGGTTTTCTTACGTGGTGCCCTTTGAAATCAGGAAGTTTTCTTTTTTCCCGTTTGTGTTCATTTTAACTAGATTAATTTGTATATTCTATTGTACTGTGCATAGTATCATTAGTTGCTTTTTTCTTTCTTTCTTGCTATTTCTTTTTGATTGCCTGAAGGACTTTACCATGTCTAAGTAAAGTTCTCTTATCTCAGTTATTCAAAAAATATGGAAATACCCCCACCAATGACCACTCCCCCAACCCCCTCCCCCCCGAAGAAACAAAGGAACAAAAAAATAGAGTTCTTCACGGGGCTTTATTGTTTAGTTGAATTGTTTCTTTTGTTGTTCCGTGCCTTAGTACCTACATGAAGGAACCAATATTTCTTTGTCTTGCAGGGAATTATGGCACGAGTGTACGAGACATTTGTGGTGCTAATATTGTTAGCAGTCCTAGTAACAAGCATTGTATGGGTAGGCTTAGCTCTGGTTGACAGGGGACGCACATCTGATGAAGGCAAGCAATGCAATCTTATGTTTGACTTAAGATGCATTAGATTAGATTAGTGGAAACCAGGGAGAATTTGACAACCAATAGAGTCAATTTACTTTTCAACAATACTGTCGGTAACACTTAAAACATTGCTAAGACACTTCACGTAGTGTTTTGTTGCTAAAATGAATTTATGGAAAAAGCTTGTATTTTGTGATTTAAACAAACTTGACAAAATTGAATTGGAGTGAACACGCATGCCTATTAAAGATAGAGGATTTGAGGAAATATCACAAATTGTCTTAAAAATAGAATTTGTCATTGTTAGAAACAAGCTTAGTCTTTATGCTAGTCAGTGGTTTCTAAGGACCTGTTTACATGGAGGTGGGAACCCCAATTTGGTCAGGTAACCCGCCTGTCCATATGATCTCTTATTATAATTTGAACAAGTTTACCTGATATGCGGGGTGACCCGCCACATGTTACCTCACATATCTGAGGTCCGCCACTACCATGTAAACAGGCCCTAGAGTACATGTTAGATTTAAACTTTTAACATTCAATCAGTGTGGGCACAAAGACACACACCGGCCACTTAATGGAAGTTGTCCTCCAATAGAGGTTCATTATAAATTAGCATAATTTTCCACTGGCTAAGTGTAAAAAATAAGTTGAAAATGTTTTTCTCACACACCACTGAGAGAATTACTGATCGACAATCGATTGTCACCTTCTGTCTTGGGCTGTCTTTTTCTTCCCCATAATTAATCTTTTCAATGAAGGGAAAATAAGGGGAAATCAGTGCATCAAGTGCTTGATGGCCCTTTAATAGTGTTAACACAGCCAACAATGACAACACTAGTGACAACACTGGCAACAGTGACAACAGTAAAAACAGTTACATCGCCAATGACAGTAAGAACAGGAAAGTTAGAACAGTGTCAACAGTGACAGCAGCGACAAGAAGGACAACAGTGACAACAGCCACATCATTGACAAGAGCGACAACAGTGACAACAGCGACAACACCGACAGTACCGACAACAGCGACTTTAGCGACAACATTGACAACAACGACAATAGCGACAATTGTGACAATGGCGACAAAAGTGATGACAGGGACAACAGAGCTGTCTTTTTCTTCCCCATAATTAATCTTTTCAATGAAGCGAAACTAAGGGGAAATCAGTGCATCAAGTAGTCATCAGCAGTAACAACAGGGACAACACTAACAACACTGACAAGAGTGGCAATAGTGTCAAAAGGGATAATAGGGACCAAAGAGACAACAGTGGCAACACTCACAAAAAAAGACAATAGTGTCAAAACGGACAATAGTGACAAAGGAGCCATAAGTAAAAAAGAACGCAAATGAGAAACCCTGTGAAAAACGTGAAAATGGTGACAACAGGGACAACAGCGACAAACGTGACAGCAGCGACAACAGTGACAACATAGAAACAACAGTGACAGCAACGACAACAGTGACAACAGTGATAAAAGCAACAACTGTGACAAAAGCAACAACAGCGACAACAACAACAACAACAGTAACAACAACGATAATAGTAACAGCGGTGACAACAGCGACAACAGCGACGACATCGACAACAGCGACAACAGTGATGACAGTGGCAACAGTGACAACAGCCACAAAAGTGAAAAAAGTGATGACAATGACAACAGTGACAACAGTGATAATAGCGACAACAGCGACAACAGTGCAAATAGTTGCTACAGTGACAATGGTGACAATGGCGACAACAGTGATAAGAGTGACAACAGTGATAACAGCAAGAACACTGACAAAAGTGACAACAGCGACAACAGTGATGACAACAACAACAGCAACAAGGGTGCAAATAGGGACAAAAGTGACAACAGTGAAAAAAGTGACGACGGTAACAACTGCAACAACAGCGACAACCGTGACAACAGCGACAATAGCAATGACAACGACAACAGCAACAACGGTGCAGGTAGTGACAAAAGTGACAACAGTGAAAAGAGTGATGACAGTGACAACAATGACAAAGGTGACAATCGTGACAACAGAAAGAACAGTGAAGACGGCGACAACAGCGACAACAGTGACAACCGCGACAACAACGACAACAGCGATGACAGTGATGAAAGCGACAACAGTGACAATGGCGACAAAAGTCGTGAGAGCAACAACAGTGACAACAGTGACAACATTGACAATAGCGACAAGAGTGACAACGGGGACAACAGCGACAACGATGACAACAGTGAGAAAAGTTAGGACATTGTCAGCAATGACAACAGTGACAACAGCGACAACAATAATGACAGCGACAACAGTGACAAAAGTTAGAACAGTTTCAACAGTGACAGCAGCGACAAGAAGGACAACAGTGACAACAGGCACATCATTGACAAGAGCGACAACAGTGACAATACCGACAACAGCGACTTTAGTGACAACATTGACAACAATGACAATAGCGATCACTGTGACAATGGGGACAAAAGTGATGACAGTGACAACAGCGACAACAGTGGCAACAAAGGCAAAAGCGACAACGGTGATAACAGCGACAACAGTGAAAAGAGCGAGAACAGTGAGAAAAGTTAGAACAGTATCAACAACGACAACAGTGACAGTATCAACAACGACAACAGTGATGGCAGTGGCAAAAGTGATAACAGTGTCAACGGCAACAGAAGTGAGAAGAGTGACAACAGCAAGAAAAGTGACGACAGTCATGAGTGACAACAGTGACAACAGCAAGAACACTGACAAAAGTGACAACAGCGATAACAGTGACGACACCGACACTAACGACAACAGTGATAACAGTAACAACAGTGACAACAGCAACAAGAACCACAACAGCAACAACAGGGACAATAGGGCAGCAGCAGCAACAGTGACAAGAGTGACAACAGCGACAATATTGACTACAATGAAAACAGTGAAAACAGGGTGCTCAGTGAGAAGAGGCAAAAGGTGGCGACAGCTGACAGTCTTCTACAATTATTTCAGGACTTTGATTACTTGCTGTTTGATATATATAGGGTGGATGCTAAATCGTGGCTCGACAGTAATATTTGTGTGTAATCTCTTACAGAGGTTTGGATTCCTGGTCTGCCCTTTATTTATTCATGCATATCCCTTCTTGGAGGCCTTATGCTTTTGTGTAAGTATCATTATTTGATGTGTGAGTATGATTGTGAATGATACCATTACTAAGTGTAATTAAATTAATTTTGACGAGTGAAATTAGAGGGAATAATTTCAGATGCGTTTTGTCCAAATCCAAATTATGCGGTGAGGGAAGTTTTTAGGATTTGGACAAAATGCGAGTGAAATACATGTATTATTTTTCCCTAATTTCATGAGTATACCATTTGATTGCCCAATAATATAATGGGTGATGAATTACGTTGACAATCGTGGATTTTTGACCTGTTTATCATGGGTTTATCGTATTTGGCGATCAATAACTCCACTCTGTTATTACATAAGTTTAGAACTTAAAGATATCTTTATTTCAGAATTTTCAAAACTTTTCGATAAAATACCTGTTAGAATATGTCTTGATGTGCTCTTTAAAACCTCGTCGCCATCTTGGCACTGAGACGTATGGAAGGTTGCCGTGGCAATTTTGTGATTTCACATTTGAAATTATAAATTAATCCTAAAAATGTTCTGCTAAAATTACTGAGTAATTCGTCATGTATGGTATAATAATAAGAAGAATAAGAATAATATTTTGCTAACAAAGGATTGAATATTTGGTGCTGTTTATTTTTTTCACAGAATTCTGGAGAGAGTGACATTTTCTCGATTCCTTAGCATGATGATATTTTAGACCAACAAATATTGAGTTCGATTAAAATAATTGCCATTGTCATTTAAGAAAACAAAAAAAGTGATACTCTGCTAGATATTTTAAACAGCGTCAACGGGCTAACTTGATTGCCTTGATTGGAATGTTCAATAATTTTATTCAGACACCTTATGCACATCATAGACTGTTCAACGTCCCTTTAAGTTTTCTAGCTCGGATTGTCCACAGCAATCACCGAGTATGCATGAGGCAGCGTGGCCGAGTGGTTAGTGCTCTGACTGTTAGCTGGACTTCGTCAGGGTAGTCCCGATTTCAAATCCTCGGCCACGCTTGTAATTAGCCAGGTGGTTTGCCTCCGGCCAGTGGGGATTCTTAACCCTGTTGAATTTCATTTGAATTATTTATTTCAGGCATTTTCTCGGCTCCACTAGCATCAGTGCTATAAATACTGCCGAGGATAAATAACGGAATTATTATTATCTTTTATTTTATTTTTTTTTTATGTCAAGGTCACTGTGTTGTTTTTGTAGTAGCATTATTGTGTCGATTTAAATCCTATTTCCCTCGTGGCTCGACCAATAAGAAGCACTACCCTTTATATGGTAGTGACAGGTCATCAGTTGGCATTGGTCACAAAATGTCTTCTGTTTTGCAAGCTAAGTAATTTATAGTGCTACCCAGAGCTTTAAACCGCTCTCTTTTTTTCTAATTTTAGTATGCACTCCTGTTGGCTTTGCACGGATGTTTACGGTATTGGGCCAATATGTTGTCAAACCACAGGTAATTAAGTAGGCATTGTACGTTAAAAATAATTATTATATTTTAGAACAGTAAATAGTCTTACTTTGTGGTTGACAGGTTTTGATAAAGAGTGGTTTTGAAATGTCAGAAGCACCTGGAACAGCCAACAAACAGCTGTCACATGAAAGCAGCTGTTATTAGAACAGTGATCCTTGAGATGTTTTTTCAAATAATTTAAAATTAGAATGAACTCAGCAATACCATATTAAACTCATCGCTAATGATGAGCTTGGGAGCAGGTGCCTTAAAGGTTAGTAGGGGGCCAAATGCAATAAGCAGAGAGGAGGTATCCATGGCAACCCTGGAAGCGGGAACCACCCCCAAGAGCAGCAACTAACCGGCACCGTCACACTGAATAAATTCAGTGGAGATACTTACCTAAGAGAATACTTACCTCAGAAAATATTTACCAAACCACCAGGCAGGGAGGGAGGAGAGGGAGCAAGAATCCGCAATGATTCGCAAGTAGGCAAAAATTGATCCGCTACGATCAGTAAGCAATGCTACAGTACAAAGCAACACTAGCAAAAGGGTACACAAGGAGCCCTGCAATTCCCCACGGGCCGCCCCGTAGGTCACATACTGAAGTGGGAGAAGACCGCTAGCCAGCTCGCTCGAGTTTAACTTTGCCTAAATGATATTTAGCCACATTAAAAACTTCATTGTTTAGCATTCATTTGAATGGTCGCACTTGACTATTTCATCCATATATCATTAGGCTACAAGGGGTAACAATGGGTTATAGGGGATTAAAGGAGTTGAAAAGAGGTTAGAAAGGGTTACTAGAGATAACAAGGGATTACTTAGGGAACCAAGTGGTTACAGGGAATTAAAGGGAGTCACAACGGATTACAGGGGGTTTCGAATGTAGAATGTAATTTCGGGCTATAAATAGGGAGAAACGCTTAATTTTCCATGTAAGGAGTCGCCGAAGAAGTACCTGCGTCACATTTGCGTCATATGTTTGTCAAATGCGACGAATGTGACGCACATTAACCGCCGCTGTTCGTTTAGCGGATTCATGGACGGGACTAGACTGCAAATGAGTCGTTTTTTTTCTCAAAATTGGTTTAGCGTAGCATAAGAATAGCTCGAGAGTCTCACGAGCACAAAGCGCGGGAGCTGTTTTCAGCCTCGCTCCAGACCTTTTGTTTGACAGTTCGCGCGTACTTGATTATGCGGGGCCACTCTCCCCATGCATAAGCCCCCATACTGGCGTCATTAAGCTGGAATATGGGTAAAAGCAAGCCTCCTACGGAGACACCAAACATGCTTCGAAGTTTAGCAGACACATGGCAGTTCACAAGTGAACTGATCTCTCTTGCCGGTCTGTGGACGGATTCCAGGACCTACCACACAACTTGAACGACTTTTGACTTGGTAACAAAACATTCGATACACTATTTTGCGGGCAGCGCTGTGTGGCCCAACACTTCAAAATATAGAAAATAGGAATAGGAAACGTTCCACGCTCACGGTATAAGTGAATTACCCAGAATTCCTTTCGAGCACTAACGAGCCAAGTTAAGATACTCTATACCGGCTTTAAAAGCATGTCGAGCGAAAACACCGAGGGAAAAACGTAAAACTAGATACCAAAGTATGGCGTTGAGGCTTGCTGCAAATGTAGTCCTTCGATTGTTTAAATCAATTTTTTGCCTAAAACTCGACGACGAACAGGTGTAATTTTTGAATTTTTTGTAATTAATGAATTTTGGCTAAAAAAACTGGCGTTTTGGACTTTGCTGCCAAACGAACCACGATATCAAGTGGAAATTAAGAGTTGAAGTTGGTTTGTTTTCTTTCATAATTGTAAATCTGCCATTTCGTGCTATGAATAAATTACCAAAAGATTGCTACGAAAGTAAAACAAGAGGCAAATAGCTAGCGCATGTATAGTATTTTTTTAAGCAAATATACTTTGTGACGCTTAAAAGGTTAACCCCCTTTAACCACTTGTAACCCCTTGTAACCTCTTGTAACCCTCTGTAACCCACTGTAACCAAAAATTCCTTTTGAGTACTAACGAACCATGTAACCCCCTGTACTCCCCTGTATCCCCATGTAATAGATCGTGATAATCATCTTTTCTCAAATCAAAAGTAGATCGAAAAAAGTGTTTCCTGACGTTCTACATAAAAAAGAAGCCTTTCAATAGTATTAGAACATCTGTTTATAAAAAGCAAACGTCAAATTTGAATTTTTCCAAACGAGTTAGTCCATCGTTTTAGTTTCTTCAACTTTGATTTTTATGCAAAAGAGACCAAGAAAAAGTATCTGGGGACGTTCTAGTTAGAAAACAAGTTTTCTGTAATCTTTGTAACCTGCTCTAACCGCTTGTAACGCCCTGTCACCCCTTCAAACCCCTTGTAACCTCCCGTCACCCCTTGTAACCCCATGTATGCCCATGTAATAAATCGTAAAAATGAATCGTGAAAAACTGATGTTCGACGTTTTATATAAAAAACAAGCCTTTCTGGACCATGAAAACATCGCTTTCAAAATCCACCAGAATTTGCATTTTTCCAAAGGTCCATGGTTTGGGTCGAAAATTTGAAATTTTGTTAACGTTTCCTTTTAAGCAAAATACACCAAGAAAAAGTATTTGGTCACGTTCTCCTTAGAAAACAAGTCTTTTCAGACGATAGAAACATGGATTTAAAAAAACGTATAATTGCCATATTTGCAAAGGGGATAGTCCATGATTTTGGTCAAAAAGTTGAAGTTTTTCATCTTTTGTGTTTATCAACACTAATCGAAAAAAAGTGTTTCCTGACGTTCTAGATAGAAATGAAGCCTTTAAAAACTATAGGAACATCTGTTGATAAAAAAACGCAAAATTTGAATTTTTCCAAAGGGGTTAGTCCATCGTTTTCATCGAAAAGTTGAGATTTCTTAAACTTTTATGTTTATGCAAAATAGACCAAGAAAAAGTATCTGGGGACATTCTAGTAAGGAAACAATTTTTCTGTAATCCTTTGTAACCTGCTGTAACCCCTTGTAACCTCCTGTAATCCATTGTAACCCCCTGTTACCCCTTTTAATCCCCCGTCACCTCTTGTAACCCCCTGTATCTCCATGTAATAAATCGTGACAATGAATCTTGAAAAAACGATTTTCAACGTGTTATATAAAATTAAATAAAAGCCTTTCTGGACCATGAAAACATCACTTTGAAAAACCCACAGAATTCGCATTTTTCCAGAGGGGATAGTCCATGATTTTGGTCAAAAATTTGAAATTTTGTTAACGTTTCGTTTTATGCAAAATACACCGCGAAAAACTATTTGGTGACGTTCTCGTTAAAAAACAAGCCTGTTAAGACGATTGAAACACGGATTTAAAGAAAGGCAAAATTGGAATCTTTGCAAAGGGGTTAGTCCATGATTTTGGTCAAAAAGTTTAAGTTTTTTCATTATTTGTGTTTATCAAAAAGAGATCGAGAAAAAGTGTTTGCTGACGTTCTAGATAGACAACAAACCTTTAAAAACTATAAGAACGTCTGTTTATAAAAAAAACGCAAAATAATTTTTTCAAAGGGGTTAGTTCATCGTTTTCGCCCAAAATTTGAGATTTCTTCCACGTTGATTTTTATGCAAAGTAGACCAAGAAAAAGTATCTCTGCACGTTCTAGTTAGAAAACTCTAATCTTTTTGTAACCCCCTGTAATCCCCCTTAACCCCCTTCTAACCTGCTGTACCCCACCCCCTGTCACCCCTTTTAACCCCTGTATCCCCAAGTAATAGATCGCTAAAATAAATCGTGAAAAACGATTTTCGACCTTTAATAAAGAAAACAGTCTTTCTGGACTATGAAAGCATCGGTTTTAAAAACCCATAGAATTCGCCAAGAGGATGTTTCTGGGGATGTTCTAGTTAGAAAACAAGTTTTCTGTAATCCTTTTTAACCCCCTGTAACTCATTAACCGCTTGTAATCCCCTGTCACATCAGAAGTGCAAAAACCACAGAAATTTTATAAACAGGTTGACTTGTACTTAAATATTCTGGTCGAAGTGTACTTTCTTCTTAGTAGTGGAAAGACGAGAACTTTCCATTCTTTAGGAAACATGCCTGTGGTGATAGTACGATTGAAAATACAACAAACAAAACAAGCTGTAAAGTCAGCCCACTAACGAAGAAGTTGCGCAGTAGTGAGCATGCTTGCAGAAAGAGCATCACCTAAACGTTCCCCCAGTATTAGTAATTTTATATAACTATGCGCTTGTTACACTTACTGGAACTTAAGACCTGTTCATTTTAATCCTTATTGTAAATCATATTTCTCTCTTTTGAGGATGGGAATCCATCTTGCACATGTAGTACAACACACGACATCTAATTTTCAAAGAAAAGACTGTAGTGGTAAACGTGCTAAGTGTATCATTTTGTAGACTCCGAGCAGTCTCTAAAGTTTCTTTTGAGTCACGGTAGTTTCTTCTTACCATTAATATGCATAATACTACTTTTTGCGGCCGGCGCACGTGTCTCTAGGGACCTTACAATCTGACAACGGCGACGTCCATGAAAACGTCCCTGAAAAACAGACTCCGCATGCTTTCAAACCATTTTGCGATTTTTCAAAGGGAATTTATGTTGGAGCTGAAGAGAGGAGGCCACGCCCGAATTCAGACAGAGATCGTAGAATATATCGCCTTGTCGTCCCGTCCTCAAAAAAGTCTTAAAATTTGGTCACTTCACGTCGTAATCGTGCAGGGACGGCAAAAACAATGTACAAAAAAGCGTGATGCATATGCAGAGTTGTTGTTTTGCTAACTAAACTTATTGCCTTTTGACGCTGCCGTCGCCGTCATTTTTTTGTAAGGTCCCTTCTGAGTAAAGAAGGGTGACGAGTCTTATTATTGTGGTGTTTCTTTCAGTTTCTTCGTGACCTCGATGATGAAATAACTGCGATTAAACTGGAAGAAGAGAGCCTAGAAAGGAAGATGAATGGTAAGAAAGAACTACAATCCTGTACAAAAGTCCGTGGGACAGTACTTCAATATTTATATTTTTCTGTCATTTCTCGGTTCCTTCTTAAAACAGTGCATCCTTTTCGACATCTTCTTGCAGTTCTCCCTCCCCGCACCCTATCCAAAGTTGAAACTTGGAAAAAAATTCTGGGTACACGCGTCCAACATTTTTTGTGGGGTGAGGGGAGGGGTGGGACCTGCGTGCATTGGAAAACGCCCCAGAAACGCAAGTGTCCTAAGACTTTTGTCCATGATTGTAGTATCTTGAAGTATTAATTCACATTATGTGACCTGTATGGGAAGAAAATATTTGGCAGGCACGAACGTTGGGCCAATTTTCATCTTGGCTTTAAGGTAACATGGTAGTCTCTTGGTGTCGTGGACGGGTTCCATCGCCAAATGACGTAATACAAAAATTCAAGACTGTAAACAATACCCACACCACAACACACAAGTGAGGTAACGATGGTCAGAGGATACCCTGTTTTGGCAGGATTCAGTTGACCATAAAATGGATGTCTAATATCAAGAATAACACGGGTTACAGGGTCCCATACTTTGTACAAAGTGTAACATTTCACATTGGTTTCCCCGTGGTGTGGACGGACAGGCAGACAGAGGTAGTTTCTTGGTGTTGCGGACGGGTACAATCACCAAATCACTTAATACAGAAGATTGAAGACACTGAAGAATACCGACACCACATAACATAAAAGTGAATCAACGACGGTTTCCTTAAAACCAAGGAACACCTGGTAAAATGGTAGCCTAGATAATGAAAATGATAGCCTTGGTAGCGTGCTGACATCTTATAGCATGTAAACTGTCTTTACCTAGCTTTTCATATTGTCTAATGAATTGGAGAACCTTACAGGTCGTGTTAAGTAACCAACGCTGCTGTGATTTTTTCCAGGTTATCACAATGGTGTCACAATCCATAACGGTATTGATCATAAACCAAGTAAACTAAGAGAACTGGAAGTTGAGAGGCTGGATCTGGGTTGGTATCGCTTTGCTTGAAAGGCTGTTATTTCTTTGTATACTAGAGTCTTATTTTTTAATTCCATTAAACGTAACGTGCCGTGCACTTGTTTTTTTTTTGGCAGGTAAGCACTTTTCTCAAACGTTTTTGCTTTTAATTTCAGAAAGAAGTATCAGAGCATCATCCCTACAAAGAAACTGTGTCTATCCAATCCTTCTTCTTGCTCTTTTGCTGCTAACGGTAGTTACCGGAATATTTTTTTTTTTCAGTTGAGAAGTTTAAGCTTCACGTTTATGTCAAACAGCAAACACGATTTTGTACCACGTGACCAAGTTTCCCATTTACTTGTCGTTTACTGTTCATTATTTCTACACACAAATTAGTAGTTTCACTCAATTTTGTATCCATGAGAAGTGCTTTTATCTGCTCATTTTCTATTTTGAGAAATTCTCAACTTGACTCTGACGTTTGACGTATACGTGAAGTTTAGTCTCTCTGGTAACACAACCCTGACAGCCTTTCATCCAACACTAGACTGACCGCACTGTGACTGGAAGTCTCAGGCATCCCGAGTAATTCCAGTCATCCTAGTCATCCCAGTCGTCTTATATCCCAGTCACTCTAGTAATCCTAGTCGGCCAAATCGTCCCTATCATCTGGTGCTGTCAATTTACAAATGAACCAACTTGTAGGGTTAGTGGCAAACGATTGCTCTTCCCCCTTTCCTTTCTTTCATTTTTTTGCTCTTGCTTCAACTTTCGCTCGATGCCTCGATGGGAAATGCTTGCAACGTAGGCTACACTCATCCCTAGTCTTCCCAGAGTAATTATCCCTGTCATTTCAGTTATTCTAGTCATTCCGGCAGTCGTCCCAGTGACTTACCGCATTTCGGTCACAACAGCCATCCCAGTCATTCTTGACATCCTAATTGTCTTAGTCATCCCAGTGACCCAATCACCCATTTGATCCATCACAGTTTTCCAGTTTTCCCAGTAACCCGAGTCATCCTAATTATTTCAATTATTCTGGTTCGAATCTGAGCAGCCTTTTCTAGGGTAGGAGTGTTGCTGGGTAGGAGACAAGCACATTGTGATTTGACTTTGTTTTTGTATATCTCCAGACCAGCTGCATGGCTATGGTAGCGTTAAATGTTCTTAGTTTGTTGTTTGTTCATGGAGCCCTTCCAAAGAAATCTACGGTATGTGTAGCTTTGTATTCACTTGTCTTCTTATAAGACTCTGTACAATTTGTCAAGTTTAGGTCGTCTTCGATGATTATTGTTTATATGTTGGATCGGCCTTTTTGCAGGTGATGGTGCTGGGAAAGGTGTCCTCTTCAATGATGGGAACGTTTGGTGCTCTTTTGGAAATAATCCTAATATTGTATCTTTTTTTCCGAGTAATCCTTGCGTGATATACCTAAGTGCGAGTTGATGGGGACCATTCCGGTCACCAATACCTTTATTGACCATTTCTAGGTTGCTCTTTGGACTGGGTCTGTGTTGTGTCAAATTGCATTATGGTACTGTTTTTGGTGATGACTATAGTGGAGTGATGACGTCACAACAATTAAATGTGCGGAATTTAGGGATAGGTTTGCATATTCAGGAAGAACATTGTGAAAAATGTCCACCTGCTAAAAGTGAACCCGTTAGTGCAAATTAGTGGGGCATCAAAGACAAGCTCCGTTATGATATAAGCCAGTTTTAGCAGGGATTTGTATGGTGTCATCTAGGCATAACTGTTCTTATATCTCTATGATTTTTGGCAAGGTTTTTTTTTATCATCTTGTACTTTCTGACCATGCCAACCAATCCCACAAGTAGCCCAAGTTAGAGTAGGCACTTCTCTTCTGTATTGAACCAAGTTTTCGCACAACATTCTATTAGTTAATGAAACAAGTGGTAGCGTCCCGAAACAGTACAGTTTACACAATACTGACCCATTGCACGATTTCAATTATGCGAATAGAAGTTACTGTTTTGTTTAATTCTCAATCTCTGTGACAAGCAGAAGTGCTTTCTCTACCTTGGGCGAGTCGTCCTGCCCGAAAATTGACTTGCAAGCATTATTAGGTAAATTATCTTGCCATTTTTTTGTATTCTTAACACGCAACTCGACAGAGAACCAACGTTGTCATGTTGGAGTACATGCTCCAGTCTGTAATTTTCTTTATATCATCTTTCTACGAGTTGTATATCGTTACTCTCCGTACAAGCATTGTTTTTGTTATTCAGTTACATAAGGACCTAAACAAAAGCATCTTATTTCTCAAATTACAAGTGCTTCTGGTTACACATTAATTTCAATGGTGGCGTCGGTCGGAGTATCGCTATTTTGAGAAAACCCTATAGAAAAGCATTCCTTAACATTTTTTGAGCTACTTGATGATAGCGTCCTTGGTAGGTCTGTACAGCGTTCCATACTTTAAGCGTATGCGACCTGTGGTTCGCGAAACTACCACTACAAAGGTGAGTTAAGTTACCAATAAGTTGCTCTTTATCGGTTTACATGGCACGTCGCAAAGCTTCATTTTGACATCTGCGTAGTTATTCACGATACAAATATACGACATGATAAAGATTCGCCACTAGAAAAGTTTCATGGAGCCGAGGTTCTCGTAGCTTGGATACCGGGTGCATTTAGCGGAGCGTGAAGCGGAAGAGGTGTCTCCCGTTTCACGCTTGGCTTAATAACCAAGTTTCATTACTAGGGTGGGATATTTAGCAGTTACTGAATGAGGCTGTAGAGGACGTGACGAATTTTGCCGATCGAGGAGGATGTTGTTGGCCGAGAGGGATAACAGCCTCGCGATATCTGCATAATTGCAAATCATACGAAAACGGAATAGGCCATATCCGAGTTCCCCCGGGCATCTGTTTCAAAACGAGGGTAGGTGCTCGTTTTCACAAGAAAGTTTGTGCACCTAGCCTCATTTTGAAAGTGAGGGTTTTTGGAACTCGGAAGTGGCCTATTCAATAGTTGTTTTATTATTCATTAAAAGTTCCTGAAGAAGCTTACTTTGTAGGTTTTCTGTTTAACTTCATCTTATTTCTCGGCTCGGTTTTTTTTATTTAAGACTATAATTATTTTTTCACTAAAACTGTCTCCTGTTGTGTGTTGCAAAGGATGACCCTGCGATGGAATTCCGTCCAGGTGGAGTACCAATACTCCTAGACATGCTTCGTGCTGCGGAAACCGGTATAAGCTCCGGCCGTGTGGGCCTTTGGCTCGTGTGCGCCTTTACCTTTTACCGCTTTTTTTTTTTCAATTAGGTTATCGCCAATTGCATCGTTCTCCTAATACTCAGTTCAGCTTTACCCGTTCTGTCTAGGACTCTCGGTAAGTCATTGGTACACGTGAACAGACTTATTAATCCATGCTCTTGTCTCCAGTCTCTGTTGGGAAGGGTTAATCCACCGAAGCCTTACCTTCCGACTGACACGATATATGGAAAATTAAACGTCGACTTAGTGTCTGTCCCACAGCTTTTCTGGTTTGTTCGTCCTACTAAAACAGTGACCTCTCGTCCGACCTTTGTCCCCTCTTGAATGAGAAATAATTGATTGCAGTCCTGCCCACCTCCATTTTATCACAAAAATTTTTTCTGGCACCTATTCATCTACCGTAATTCAGTAGACACGTGGAGGGCGAAGAACACGTCAAGAAACCACAGTTAAGCTGATAGAGAGGCTGAGAGGGTCCTTGCTCTTCGCGATTGTACGGAAAAGGTACAGTAGTGTATGCTATTGGAGGTCAGATTGTTTATTTCGTGATGCACGTATGTTATATTTCAGGAATTACCAAGTTTGACTTGTTGGGCGAGTTCGGTCGGCTTGACTGGCTTGGCAACTTTCGCGTGGTTATCCTGTATAACTTAGTGTTTGAAGTTTCAACTGCTTTCTGTTTGGTAAACAAGTTCACTGCTTCTGTCAGAAACGCTTTATATGAGCAGGTACACGTTCCAACGGTGCAGTTCTTTAGGCGGCTCAGACCCAAGGCGAAGGCTTCTGTATGAGTGTTCGGTTACCTAAAGGACGGTAAAAGAAACAAGGATCTTTTGAGGTTTAAAGGTGACTTCCGGTCAATTACATGCAACTTTAGAGGTTGAACTGTTTGGGTAACCCAAGTGTGGCCTCACTTATCAAGTTGACTACTCGAAACTAAACATTGTGCTGTGGTTGTTTCGATTAACTGGATACCTCGTCTTAAGTCAGTTGTTCATGGAGATGTAAAAAAGGAAGCTGAGTCGATAATCAATGGAAATGTATTGATTACGGTATAAATTGAAGCAGTTCTTCGTGTGAAAGACACATTGCAATGACGTTAAAGCTCTTTAGATTATTGTGGCTAAGATACTGTCAAAGTAGCCTGCGTAGCAGGCGCTTGGAAGTAGTGGGCACAAGAAAAAACGCGCGCGAGAGAACGAGACACCCCTTGCGTGTCTCCCTCGCGCGCGTCTGTTCTCTCTTTCGCCCACTACTTTCAAGCGCCTGCTACGCAGGCTACTGTCAAAAAGTTACTTCTTGCCCCGATCCCTCTCGTGTCTGTAGAGGCCTGGCTGGGAAGAAAGAAGTACAGTATGGTGAGGTAATGTAACGCAACATTACACAAAGAAGAACCTGGCCTTTCCCAAAGACGCTCTTAGGGGTTCGCTACGCGTCACGTTTGTCACGCGGGGCAGGAGCGCGTGACTAACCCCTAAGAACGTCTGCGGGGGAGGCTAGAAAGAACCTTGGCGTCTTCCATTTAAGTGATGCATAGATGCTTTGCATCAATAGTGCGTATGCTGGTATGACCAGGATTATTTTGCAGGGACCAAGCTGCGATAGAAAGTAAAGGAGGCAGTGGGGTTTCATTTACTGCCAGTACAAATATAGTGTTACATTTATTTATGGAAATTCCTTTATCTTAATATATTAGCAGAAGAAATCCTTTTACTGTTAACCCTTTAAGCCCTAAGTATCGTCAACATGAAATTTCTCCTTTAATATATTGTTACTTTATAAAACAGATTGGTCACGAGAATCAAGACGTGATCGCATAACATGAATCTTATTGACACTTCAAATGCTCCTTATTACTTTTGTTGAACACGTATAATTACAGCAAGTGAGAATTTAAATTTTGATACTAGGGTTTAATCGGTTAAGAACAATTTTCAGATCCGCTCGCGTTTTTCTGCACCTGTTTCCGTTTTGCTGGCGTAGTCAATCGATGAAAAGCGATTATCGGTAATCATTCGATCAATTCATGTTAATCGGTGGGTGTTAGTTAATTGATATCGATTGTTATTGGCCAATTTGTGATAAACAGAATAACTTCATTTTAAAGTTTCATCGATTTTCTATCGATAAAAAATGGTACATCGCAGGGTAATTGATTTCATACCCTGCGAGGGCAGGAGAGAAGCCTCTGCTCGCAGGGTAATTGATCTTATGGAGAGATCATCGAGAAAGTTAATCCAACTAGTAAACAACGGATAAGTAAACGATGATAATCAGCAAAAAAGCAATCGTGGGTTAAGTAACAAAATTTTCTCTCATCGATTGGTCATCGATTTCTGATATCAATCTATTAACGGAAGTCGGTTGATGATGATTACAAAGCATTGACTACCCTCCCACGCAGACGTTCTCAGGGGTTCGTCACGCTTGGAAGGCTTAGCATTGACTGACCACTCCAATTTTTGTTATATGAAAATGTGATTATTCTTGCATTGGACGTTGAAATTGTTTGACGACATGAAAATCATGTTAACAGTTTCGACATTCGAAGCTGGTAGTGAAAAGTGCCCTTATATAGTTTTATAGTAAAATAATGTGTAGTTGCAAAACAGATCGACATCATAGTTTACGTACCCATCCTTTACTCTTCAAAGGCTGTTAATTTATAAAGTAGACATCCTACTTCTATGCGGAGTTCTCCACAAATGTAACAATTATTATAATAATCTTATAATAAGTGTTAAATTATTTTCATATTTATATGACTAGTTATATAAATAGTGCATATCTTTCGTACTTAACACTTCGTCATCCGTTCACCATTGCAACTGTTGTCATTCGTATCCTAGTGCGTCGTCTAGTTCGACATCTAGTACGTCATCTAGTACTTCATTTAAGTACGTTAAGTTATTGTTGTTTTGTACAAGACTCAGTGAAAATCAGTGGCACATTTTGTAAACTACAAATTCCTCCTGTAGCTGAATTTGTGGAACAAAAGGACATGTCACAAATAAAGTTTATCATTGTTATTTGATTCCTACATCAATGCTGTAGTAGTGGGGTTTACAGATTGTTACATGCTGCGCTTAAAAAACAACACTCCTAACCAAGTCTGATCAATTTCTACCCTTAACTTCCCCACGACCCTAAGTTTTGGCTACTGAGCGCGAACAGTGGTTTTTTATTAAGGTTTAAAAATCCAGTGCTTCTAGGGACTTGATAAAAGACGAGTTATGAGTGTTTTAAACAGTTTTAAAAGTTTCACCGGAGTATTTCATTTGTTTGGTTTTGCTAAATGATGTAATCTTTTTAAACGCGTTGATTATCAATGTTAAACAAAAGCAGCGAAAAGAACAAAGGTTATCAAGTAAAGGTTATTCGACTTAGTTATTTTGTGAGGATGACATCCAACTTTGAAGCTCTCTGGTATCCCCACCGTTACTTTGATCGTAAGTCTAACATATAGTATGGATAACATATAGATCAGTCTACATTATAGCATAAAATTTTTGGCGATCGGAGTTAATGTCACGTGGTTATAGTGCCACGCCTCTTTGGGTTCTGAGTCGAAATAGACCTATTCGGCTAACACAATGTTGTACCCAATTCAAATCTCCCGGGGTTAAGATTCTTTGTGTATTGTATTTGCATCATAATGTGGCATTCACATTTAAATGATATGGAAATTCCTGAAACAAAACGTTTTATTCCCAAAAGGTTTGAATTGGGTACAACATTGAGTTATCCGAATAGGTCTATTCTGCTGTTGCCGTTATTTTTTCGATGAATTTCACCAATTACAACAGCCACTGAATCTGATTAAATCCATGCATTCAATTGGACAATATGCCCACTGAATATTTATGTGATAACAGCAAGCAGCCCATGAAGAAAGCACACGCACTGATGCAAGGTAGGCCGGCTGTCTGTGTGCGACAAACGCAGACTGTAGATTTGTGGACTGGCAGGTCAACGAGGTAAACATTGTTGTGAAATGCTCCAACAGATTCCCAATCCCTTAACTAGACTTTTAGAAGACTTAAAGTTTAGGGATAGAGAATCTTTTAAAGCATTTCACAACAATGTTTACCTCGTTTTCCTGCCAGTCTGCAGTCTGGGTTTGTCACACACCGAAGGAGATGTAAGCAACTTTTTGCTGCGATGACTCCGTATACATGTAAACCTTGTGGATGGATCGTTAGTTAACGTCATAGCGGCCCCAGGGGGATACTCTTCGGATTTTAAGTGACGGGGATGATCGAATGGGGGCAAAAATCAACCTAATGCTTAGGGCTTCCAGTAAAACCCATAAAAAGCCCTGACTAAAAAGTAACCCCCCAAAACTCCCTTGCCAAATTTCCAAGCGTTTTAAAATTTTCCAGAAAGTATTAAACAATAAAACACGAAAACTAGATTAGAATAGAATGGTTGTTTGCGGCCAAGATACGCGGGCACTAGCACGAATCTTCAGATTGTTTTGAATACCGAAAAACGTGACTGTTAAATTTTCCTAGCCAAAAAATCCAAGAATCGAAAATTTTAAACCCCAAAATACTCCTCCGATCATATCTGTCACTTGAAATCCGGAGTAACTTTCCCCCCGCCTGCAACATAGACATAGCAATGACGTACGGGACACATGGGCCATCGGGACCTCAGGGGCGACAGGAGCCACAAGGGACACAGGACCCACAGAGGACACAAGGAGACAATGGGGACACGGGGGCCACAGGGGACACAGGACCCACAAGGGACACCGGGGACACAAGGGACATAGTGGACACAGGGGACAAAGTAGATACAAGCGACACAAGGAACACAGGGGACACAGAGGAAAGAGGAGCCACAAAGGGCACAGGGGACATACGTTTAAGGACAATTGGACGATCCCTGTTTGTATTTTCAAGCTTTACACTGTTGAAATACATTTGTTCCTGATCTCAACAAATCCCTTGGTTTTTTTTGGTGTGGTATTCGCGTTAATTTTCCTCATTTTGAAATTTTATTCCCTCTCTTACGTTAATTACCTTTATTGGGAAGCAAATTTATCTTCAAATCGCGTTAATTTAAGTGGCGTTTATTTCAAACACCTCAATTAACACGAGCGTTAATTTCCTATAATAGGGTAGAACGTTTCTTTTTTCCTGGTAAGCGAGCATACAGTTACAAAGTGATATTCATCCTCCATTTTTAGTTTACACACTGCACATTTTCTTTCTTCAGGTTTTTTTTTAAGGTCAATATCGACCTGTTTCTATTGGGAGTTTGTGGTTGCTTAATGGCAATTTTGTTAACATTACTCTGTGGCGGGTATTGGTAACCTGGCGAAGGTAATCCTCACATTTGTAATTTTCTATTGTTTTAAATTTTCGGTATTTTGTCATTTTGTTATATTGGTCAGTTTTCTTCTCACGTCGTTATTTATTTCACTCATCCAGTGTTGGGCCTTATTGTGTCTACAGTCCTGTTGAGCCCATATCATGTTCTTTTATCCAAAATTCTCCCAGTCCTATCAAATCTAATGTGCTTCTTTTTAATGTTGATTTTAAGTTTAAGTACACAAGTAAATGAAGTTCAGCGATGTTTTAGAGCAGAAAATATGACATCTGGACCATTAAGAGTAATTTTATGTTGGCAGTCATCTTGGGTTTTATGAATGGTGTCCGCCCACCTGTTTAACGCCAAAAGCGCTTAACCCTTTAAATCGGTAGAAAACGTTTTTAACCCTAAACAGCGCTTAACCCTAATCCGTTAAAAAAAAGAGTGCTTCACCCTAATCCGTAAAATGAGTAAAATGATGTTTAGTAATCCTTTCCATAGAAATCATACTTTTCTAGACTGTTAAAAAATCGACTTTGATCAGTCATCGTGGGATGTGCGAAAGTGACATAGAGTACATAGTCGCCAGATTAGATTTTTCCAATTCTAAGGGGTCAGGCAGTGATTTTTTTTGAAAATAATTGTCTACTGCTTGCTTATGTGCCAAATAGC